TCTGTTTTGCTATCCAGTCTGATAATAAGGAAACAGTTTGAACTCTGGGGTGTGGCACATTACGGATCATCCTCACTGTGCAGTGTCAGACATATGCTGCCCTCTACTGCTCTGTCACTAAAACTACAGATCCCGGAGCTACAACAGCATGTGGAGAAACTCAATACACAGAGACCGAGAGATAAATATCAAAGAAACTAACAGCAGCTGTGTTTAAAATCCCCTTGAATCTAATTTAAATGACAAACACGTTTACAATGGAGTAACAGCTCTGATGTGGTTGATAATGGGGATGGGTGAATGGAGCCTTGTGAAGCTTGGAGGCTTTTAAAGCAGCAAACAAACAGCAGTGACATCTGGTTGTTTGCTAAAGTATAGCAGCCCCTTAAAATGGGCCACAGCACCGAGGTTATTTTAGTTAACTAAAACCAAACTAAGAATTACAACTAGGTGTGAGAAAACATTTTAATAAAATTGAAACTAAACTAACTGAAACAATATTGTGTGCTCACAAAACTAACTTAAAGTAAATATTTAGTTAGTCTTTGTCAATTTGGTCAAATTTGTTATCACAACAAGCATGAATACTGAAACTGATTAAAATTCAACTAAAAATAAACATGTTTAAGCAATAAAAACTAAACTGACATGAGCAAACTCACTCTGGAAACTAAACTGAATTGATAACAAAAATTAAAAGTGGGAAAAAAAGTCAAAACCAATGAAAAATATAAAACTATTATAACCCTGCAAAGCACTACAGCACCACTGTTTTTAACAGTTTCAGTTTGTGTGCAATAAAAATCCAACAAGTCTGCATGATATCATTAAATCTGTAGTTAAATATGGTCGCATTAAATATATTTTGTAATATGTTACAGTAAAATAATAAAATAACTAAAAAGCCTACACATAAAACATTTTGCTGACTCAAAACCCCAATGGGTGTTATTGGTGTAGTTTAGGGTCAGTGTCACTGTGGGCTCATGTGTTTTAACTTCATCATATGAATCTTAATGTGATGTGATTTGAGAATTATATTAATTTAATCATCTTATTAATCTCATTGCCTCACTTTGTATCAAGTAGAAATGATCTGTGAAGTGTACATTGCCATATTTCTCAGTTTTTATGAACATAAACTGCAAAACTTTAAAGACTATCAAACTGAATGAAGCACCAGTGAGGTTTGAAACTTCAGACATCATCAGTCACATGGTGCTGCTCATTTGATACAAGCTCAGACACAATATATACCAACAGTGTGCTTCACGGAGCTGCAGTGTCTCCATTGTAATCAGTGCTCTGGGAGGAGTCACTACCCAATAGTTCCACCTGAGGGCATCCTTGTTTGCAAAAGATCTTAAAATAGTTTGTTTCTAGTTTAAACAAGTTTTGTGTGTGTGTGTGTTTGTTTTTTGTGTATCACTCATCAGACATCAACCTTATCATGTGTGACCAACAGGAGCAGCTGAGCAGTGACTCGGTCCAGCCTCCCACCAGCTGAAACATCATTAGTTACGTCCCATTTACCGATTTCTATTACTCTGACTGTCTGAGCTCACTGTGAGGGAGAACTGGAGAGAAAAACAGTGAATACCAACAAGCCAGAAATTAAACTCACAATGTGAGTCATGTGCTACAACACCAAACCCACTGTGCATGGAAAGTTAAAATGAGACAGCACGTCGCTAGATGAATATGCAAGCAAGTTTATGAAAAGTAATGTATGTGTAAAGTAAATATGCAAAGAAGGTCTTCAAAGCGTCTGCTGGGATTGTTAACATTCTCAAACGAACACACTGCAGGTCTGGTTTGGTGTGTAAACATGATTGTAAGTGATGACGCCGACATACTTGACAGATGGGATTATCCAGACTGATGGGAGGAGTAGTGGGATGAAATGCTTGTGGCAGGAGGATTTTTTTAATCATGTTTACAGATTATTAAAAGATAAATATGTGTGTATATGTTAAAATGTGTGTTCAAGAAAGCAAAACTAATTTGCATTTGTCTGAAAGGCCAAAAGTTGAATTCATTTCCAAACAGAAGAGCAAAAAAAAAAAAAAAAAAGGGGTGGGGGGGGGGGGGCGTTATGAATCTACTGACATCTGGATCAAAAGTAGCCAAGCATTTTTGTCTATTTTTCTGGTAGCTGGTGCTTGGGGAAGCCTTTCAGTAGCCTGTAACGTGTTTACCTCAAAAATCAACCATGCCATGTGAAATCATCTACTTTTCACCCACTCACACATACTCATCTCTCCTGGTCACATTTACAGGGTGATGTAAAACCACAGCATGTGATTAAATGCACTTGTGAATCACTTCTCTGTTACAAACAAGCACTCAGGTAAAGAATTCATAGGTTGAAGGTCAAAACTATCACCTGAAAGTATAAAAAAAAACAGCCAGAATGGGAATATAATTCCTGCTGGGAAGGGTGTGGTTTGAAACAGGAGACTGAAACAACAGAGCTTGGGGGATCCAGAGGAAAAAAATGGACTACAATAGCCTCATAACACAATAGTAGAAGAACAAATGGGCCTTATGGTTCGCCCTGTCTACAGACCCTCTATAGAAGTGGAACTTGAGACTTGGGCAAAGCCTCAACTGTTACACGGTGAGGAATTTCTCATGCAACGGCTGGCAGGTTGGGACATGATTCAGTCTTTTAATAAGTTCTAGGGAGAGAAAAAAAGAACATCCTCATACCACAAACAGGCTGCCTCACCCCAACCTGTAATAACAGCATTAGAGTAAAGCCTGGGATGTGCATGCAGGGTAAACACAGCAAAACTCTGGCTACTTTGTTTCATCATTCTACGAAGTAGTCCTTTAAAAAGGGGATAACATTTTGCAACTAAGCCAACACTGGCCTCAATAAACTACTTCCTCAATAAAATGTCAGAAACTACTGAAAGATGGCCATTATAAACTCCCGAAGACCAAGGCTCTCGTTTTATCCAACCAAATGTCCAAATATTCACTTTACCGTCAGATATGCTGAAGAAATCCCACATTCGATAAAGCCGAAAACAGAGCATGGGAGGCATTTTTGCCTTAAAAATTACTGAAATAATTACTCAATGATCAAAAGAGTTAATTTTCTGTCAGTCGACTACTGACTGATCATTACAACACTGATCGATTCAATTGTTTAACTGTTAGCTAACTGTGTTAAATGTTTATCCATTGCCTTATAAAATAGTTAGCTAAACTCAGGTTAGACAAACAGTTGAAATATTTCTAGCTAAAAGTAATGGACAAACAATTTAAACTATGTATCTTTATTTTTTTTAATCTACTTTCAGCTAACTATTTAAACTGTTTACCCGTTACGTTTAGCTAACTTTACGTTTAGCTAACTATACGTTTAGCTAACTATTGAAATTGTTTACCCATTACTTTCAGCTAACTATTCAAATTGTTTACCGGTTACTTTAGGCTAACTATTTAAATTGTTTATCTGTTACTTTTAGCTAACTATTTAAACTGTTTACCCGTTACTTTCAGCTAACTATTTAAACTGTTTACCCGTTACGTTTAGCTAACTATTCAAATTGTTTACCTGTTACTTTTAGCTAACTATTTAAACTGTTTACCCGTTACGTTTAGCTAACTATACGTTTAGCTAACTATTGAAATTGTTTACCCATTACTTTTAGCTAACTATTGAAATTGTTTACCCATTACTTTTAGCTAACTATTGAAATTGTTTACCGGTTACTTTAGGCTAACTATTTAAATTGTTTATCTGTTACTTTTAGCTAACTATTTGAACTGTTTACCTGTTACTTTAGGCTAACTATTTAAACTGTTTACCCGTTACTTTCAGCTAACTATTGAAATTCCTTATCCATTACTTTTAGCTAACTATTGAAATTGTTTACTTGTTACTTTCAGCTAACTATTGAAATTGTTTACTTGTTACTTTCAGCTAACTATTGAAATTGTTTACTTGTTACTTTTAGCTAACTACTGAAATTATTTATCTGTTAGTTCAGGCTAACTATTGAAATTGTTTACCCGTTACTTTTAGCTAATTATTTAAAATGTTAACTGTTACTTTTAGCTAACTATTGAAATTATTTATCTGTTATTTTAGGCTAACTGTTGAAATTGTTTAACCGTTACTTTTAGCTAACTATTGAAATTGTTTACTGTTACTTTTAGCAAACTATTCCTAATCCAGATTAGACTGATAGCTCTTTCAGATGACATAAGAAAAACAAAAGGGTTTGGATGGGCTTTAACAACTGAACTGGTGATGCTATAGCTTTACTGTTCATTATCTCACCTAAAGCAATCAAATGAGTTATCAGATCAACTGAAACACACACTACAAAACCAGGGACAGATAATATATCATGGTATGACAGTAACACAAAAGGTGCCCACATCTTGTTTTGGGCCCCCTGCCCCTAAATGATGTGAACACAGCACTGGTATACAGAGTGAACACACCCAGTCAGACAACAGCCCCAAGGTCTGCAGCATTCAACACTGAGCACTTACACGTTAAAAAACAAACAACACACACACTTGTGACGCACACTTTTCAAATTCCCGTAACAGAAAGCCAATTATGGTTTTTTTTAGTATTATTGAGATAAACGGATCTGATCCATGTTGCCAGGAAAAAAAACGTCAAGATAATTTTCTGGTCAATTATTAAAAACTAGATCATGGAAAACATGAGAGATACACGTAGAATCAAAATCTAAACATTTTAACGAGCTTAGCACCTACAACGTAATTTCTGACCGCAGTGATACTGCAGATACTGCTGTGATGTCCTCAGGGGAACAACAGCCACACCAAACTTCATGTAAAAAAAGTAGGTTTTGTCTGGGTAAATAAGTAAACGCTCCTTCTAAAATATGAAGCTATTCGGTTTTAATGGTTTTAAGGTATTTTTTTTTACATGTGCCATGCTTTAAACTGCGTTTTTAAAAGATAAAAAAAAGTCATAAAATAATTATTTAGGATATTTTACTTACCAACTGCAAAGCAGAATCCAACAGCAAAGAGCTGGAGAATAATTCTGTTCATCTTGGAAAAACTGGAGGGCAATAAAGTTACACACTGGATTTTCAGGAGAGGCTGTCTGCCTGTGGAGACTCAGACCGTTATAACGTTGGATCAAACGCCAAAGTTTTTTTCCGCCGTTTATAAGCCCCCACCTCCCATCCAAACGTCACTGTCAACCAATCAGAGCAGGTCTTCTGGTACATCCAACCAGGTTTTTTCTTTCCAGGCTCTCCCACCTGTGTGAATCGTGGGTGAGGGGGGATATACTCCAGAGGGAAGTTAAGTGTGGGAAAGCTGGGAAATGGTGATTTTAAATAACCCCCATGTGTCTCTGCAATATTCATATATGGATTTATGGTGTTTTATGACAAATAAAAGTAAAGGCCACTAAACTTTATTTGCAAAGCACTTTTCAAAACACTGTTACAAAGTGCTTTACAGAACAAGACAAAACAGTATACGCCCTCAAAAAAAAACAGCAGTAACATATAAAAAGAAACTGTGACCAATGACAATGACAATAAAACAAAAATGATAACAAAATTGATAAAAGAGGAACAGAAACTTGAGAAACAACATATTTACTGTAACAGTGAGAAGTGATGCTGAGTTTGCTGACCTCATTATGGTCTTTTACCACTTTAATCAGAGGTGGAAAGCCACTAAGTACCTGCATTCAAGTTGTGTACTTTATACTTCTACTTATTACAAAAGCAATTATTGTTCCTTTTACTCCACTGTATGCATTTTAAAGCTAGATTAGATTAAAATTTAACTTGCAACACATATGATAAGCTTATTAGATACAATCAGTTGTTGCCTATCAAACCAGCCTGACTGACTTGTGACCTTTGTAAAAAAAAAAAAAAAAAAGGCAGCAGTTGGGGCTGATAACACTTCTGTACTTTTACTTAAGTGGTGGTTTGAATGCAGGACTTTCACGGGCATGTTCACTTGAACAAAAGGTATCTCTTCCACCTCTGATTTTAAAGGGGCAACTACTACGATAATTGACTAACTTAAGATCGTTATTGTTTGTTTTCCTGGTGGAGTTAAACCCCTACTGCACTTCTTGTTGACTCAGTTAACAGACCAAACACAGTCGGCTATCCTGGTTCAAAATTCCCTGCCCTAAGTCAACAGGTTAAACATTAAAAAAAAATGTAAAAGTGTGTATGTGTGCATGCAGTTTTAAAGGCGTTGATTTATTAAAAAGTCAAGTTTGCTCTGACACAGTGGACTGCCTCGCCCTTTTGCTCTTCTCTTTACCTTACATTATTGGTCAAGAGTCCATTTCTTCCAGAGCTGCTGGGCAAACGTCAACTGGTGTCTGTTCAGCACAAGCAGCAACCTCTGGTGCTGAAAAATGAAGCCAACGCCGAAGTGCCAAAAGCTGCAGTTCCTCTGATGGCCACTTGAGGCTGGTTCCAGAAGTGAGTCAATCCCCATAAACCCCCAGAGTTAAAATGCCCAACTTTACAGCAGAAATAAACATGTTTACAGCCTGGTACAAAAAAAGGTTTTGGTCTCTATGGCTTATTTCAACATTCACGATAGCTATACAGGGGTGAATTTTTATATAAGTCATGCATATTTAAGGACGGGGTTGCTTGGCTGACTCAAATCCACCCCTCACTCCTCCATGGCTCCACCCTCTCATCCAAATATGGTCACTTCTGGCTCTCATAAAACAACATACACAACTCAAGGTTTCAAAACAGCGGTCTACAAACCAATGGGTGGCGTTATGGTACATCCAGTATTTCATCCAGTCTCTGGATCAGTAGTGTGTTTCTAGCTGAACTGTCTACTTAAGACACAGTAAGGCAAACGTAGGCTATCGCGTTGGTACCCAGCAGCAAGAGGGACACCCATAAGGTCATATCATACAGTACTGTCCGCCTCTATCTAGTCAGGATTGTTTCATTTGACTCTAAGTTTAATTTAGTTTAGCTGAAAGAAAAGAAAATTTAAAGAAAATAGCAACACCTTGACGTCTTGGTGGACCTCTCCTTTGTATTTCCTGTTAATGTGCACTGTGAATGTCGGCTAAAGCACCATTACCATCTCACTAATATTATAAAATAAACACTACAGAACACATCGAAACTGCTACGAGGTTACCCATAAATTACACTCTGCCTGCTCTTATGCACACTCCTGATATTCAGAGTAGTATTTTACTCTACCTGACAAACAAGTATGTGTGAGTACTGGAAGTAATAATAAGAAATAACTCTTGATTTTTTTGCTGGCTTGGTTTTGCTGACTCTCAGATTTAATTAAAATCAGCTGCAGGTTTTCCTTGAGGCTGTAAACACGGGATGGATGAAGGGTTCCCTGCGACTGAAGCCACAGTATATTAACATAATAACACAGAGTATAATGCAGTCAGTATTATCTGTGTAAAGCTAATAATGAATGTGGAGAAGAGATTTGTAGTTGCAGAGAAAATGTGTGCCTTTGCAACTGCAGTTAGTGTGGGCGAGTTCTGCACTACTACTGTTACTATTACTGTCTGTAATTGTGTCTATTTGTCTTAATTATTTTCTCATAAAACCACGTGTCCTAGTTTGCTTTAAAAGGAGAAGTAAGGCACAAGGAATCTCAAAGGTAACATAAAGACAAGATTGTCTCAAGCGTGGTTCGGCCCAAAGTAGTAAACAGAGTTTAACATGAATTTAGCATGAAGAAATGACAGACTGTCACTAGTCCAGACACTGTATGTTTTGTGGATAACAATGTGTTTAAATGGCTCGACATGTAAGGTCAGTATCACTTTGTTGACGGAAGTCCAAGTTAAAACAGACTCTCTTGTGTTTTCATCAAGACCAAACTCAGGAAGGGAGGTTTCTGCAGGTCCTTCCTCCCATTCTGAGCTTGACAAATCAGACGTGGTGAAGAAATGGCCTCACTTCATTTCAAGCAGATGACTTTGGATGAGTTGATTTATTCACACAAGCAAGTCCAGTCTTGCCCAGAGTTTGTCCCCAAGCATTTTTCTGTGTCTCTCTGTGTCTCAAGAGTGTTTGCAAACATCCTTAGAGAGAGATGACAAAAGCATTTAGTGAATGACTGACGAGTGGAGTCCTGGGGTGAAACAATTACTAACATTTTCACGGTTTGTTTGCCGACATCAGTCACAAAAAGACAGACGTTTTTTCGGGGGTGGACATGTTTGTAGTTTAATGATTATCTCTGCATGTGACTTTAAAAAGGGGCATGATTTGGTTTCTAGCTGGAGGGGGGGAACAGTTATGAAATGAGATCTTCAGAGTCATGGTTTTGAAATACTTTGCTGAGAGGGAGGCTGTTTGGGCCCAGTGAAATGCCTCTATTGTTTTGCCCACAGATCCTCAAGAGTTTCTCAACTCATGTCACTTGGAAAGAGGGCGTGTGGGAAAAGCCAGCCAAACTAATCCTGATTCCATCAGTCACTGCAATGACAGCTAAAGTTAATTTGAAAACCCAAGCTGTGGGGAAGAAGACGAGGAGGAACACAAGTAGAGAAGTTTAAATGTTAACATGGTGACTGTGAAAAGTGGAAGCATTCATATATTGTTTTACAAACTGATGCACAGATAATGGCCTGTAAATGTCAGAGTGGAGGCAGATCTATGCAAAGTGTTTTAAATTAAAGAAGTATGTCTCTGCTGGAAAGATGATCAATTGATAAAACTGGTTTGTCTCTGCAGTAGAGAGACACAAATATTTTGAAATTGGTACCTACATGACCAGCAAGTTGCCCATCTGAAAATAATACGGCAGCCGGCTGGTAATAAACGATATTGCATTACAGTTAAACAGCTAAGCTAAGATATGATTCTGAAATCATTTTAAGTGAGAAATAGGCAACGCAGTAACAGAAACTATTTGAGTTTGGTTTGTGATTGAGAGAGAAAGAGAGAGGGAGCGGGGTGGCTCTCTTTCTCGATCTGCTTTTATACTCTTTAGCTCTATGCTCCACCTTTGCATTTTTGCACACGGAGCCAAACAACGGCAGCATCCTGGTGCTTCCATATGTGATTTTAGACAGCATACCGGCATCGTGGAATCAAAAGAGGCACGGCAGGCATGACGCATAACACCACAGCCTCACCCTGTAGTGTGATTTGACGTGTGCATCGGCAGTGCTTTATTAACAATAACAACAGCATAACATTGCAATAATAATCATTTACAGTTCCTGTTATACGTCGGCCGATCTGGTTTTCTGCTCGGAAGGTAAGGAGCTCCTGGACCTCATTGTTTTCTCAATTTGTGGATGTTTTCGGCTGCTTGTTGTTCTCTTTCAGTTAGCTGCTAACAGCTACTTTTTAAATCTCCTGTGGTAGGTTGCACGCATGACACATTTTCAAAAAGTAGCACCAGTGCAGCCCATGATCCCATCCTGTTGGCTGTCCTGTTTATACAGCTATCATTGTGGCGCTGTTACTACCTCTGTTCTTAGCTCAGAGGAGAGACAAATCTGTACCCCCATTCTATATTCATACCTCTTATACAGAATGGCGAGGTGGCATAACAATGCGATATTCCCACCTTGTACAGGTGGTGTAAAGTGGGCTTTTTCATGTCCTTGGTTAAGGTGGACATAGAAAGTGCGGAAGTACAATTTGTAGTTCGAGCAGCAGCCCTTGAGCCAGCAAAAACCAGCCAGGTGATGTGAAATCTGGGTGCTGGCAAGATGGAGGGAAGTTTACCACAGTTCATTTACACATACTACCCATATTCATATGACTCAATGCTGGTTTAAAATCTGCAAAGTATCCCTTTAAGAGATGAGTCAGTCCAGCCACCAGGAGACCAATGACTCCTCTGAAGCTTCAGAAGCTGAGATTGGATAAACTATGCATACAGCTACAGTTGGACTGGTGCTTTATGGAAAGAGGCAAAGATAATATCCTGGCGACTCTAGTCATTAATTTAGCAGGTATTTGGTCATAAACTAAAGTACTGGACAATTTGAAAATGTTCAGAGGATCACCAAACTCTAGAATTCATCCTCTGGGGATCATGAATGTCCAAACTGAATTCCACTGCAATCCATCCACCAGTTGATGGGATATTTCTATGAAAACCATATGCCAACGTCATGGTAGCACTAGAGGAAAAGTCAGGGATCACCAAAGCTAGAGAAATTCGTCCTCTGGAGATCATGAATGTCTTCATCGAATTTCACAGTAATCCTTTTAATAGTTGTTCAGATATTCCAGTGTAGACCAAAGTTGTGGAACAACCAACTAACAGACTGACATTCCCATTTCTGGAGCCACGCTGCTTGAATGGCTAAAATGTCCCATGACATCTGGCCTTGAGTTGACAGAATGCACGTGGGAAACTCCACCAGCATGAAGCATGGTGTTGGCAGCATCATGCTGTGGGGATGATTCTCTGAAACAGAACGTGGAAAGCTTGTGAGGATAAAATAAATGCAGAGAAATACAAGGAAGTTCTGGAGAAAAACATGTTGCAGTCTGCAAGAAACGTGCCACATGGGAAAAGTTATATTTTCCAGCAAGACAATGAGCTGAAGCATGAAGCCAAAGTTATACAGGAACAGCCTTAAAAACAACAACGTGCATGTCCTGGAGTGAAAACGACCCAATGGAGACGTTGTAGCTGTACACTCATGATCCCAATGCAAATCAACATAGCTGGAGCAGTTTTGCAAACACGAATGGAGAATACATATCAACACATTACGAGGCTGTAATTGCTGCCAAAGGTGTGTATACGAAATACAAGAGGTGGGACCAGGTTATTGTTTTGCAAGTCCAAAACTTTGAGTTTGAATTCCCAAACAAGCTGTAATGCGCTCTTCACCAAAACAATGCCATCTTAACAAGAGTCATAACTATGCATGTGTAAAGAGAACTGGATGTGGCGTTGGAGGTGGGGTTCCATTCATTCCTATGAAAGTTGCTCAAAAACGTTCAACCTCCTGCTTATAAGATTACCCAGATCTTTTGCATCGTTGTGCCCATGGAGCAGGTGCATGAGAGACTTTTGTGAGCCGAGCAGAATTTCCACCAGCCAAACGGCTAACTCCTGGTTTAGCTCACCGCTAACTTAAATGGGGATAAAATTATTTAATATTGCGGCTCTTCTAGACTTTCCAGAGACTTTCATCTAATACAATGTATGTCTAAGGGAAAAGGTCTTTTGGTGCACAATGGCTTCCTTCCTGGGGGCCTGGTAATAACACTAGCTACCCATTAGCTCACTATGTTAATATTAGCCTCAACTTACCGTTTTTGTGCATCTCCAAATATCGAACGAAGTTGGAAATTTTTGCGTCTTTGTAATTTCCGATCTGCGCATCTTGCATACTGCAATTCCTTTTTTCGTTTACCACCGTATAGTTTTTGTAAGCTAACAAAACTATCTTTGGCATCATTTTTTCCAGCTGGCTCTCAGTGATGTAACGTTAGTTCTTCATGGTTCTCTCCAGCGACTTGACTAGATGCTAAGGTGTATCTGGGGAATTAGTGGCCTGTCTACACATTTACAAATACTTTTGGAAACTGATATTGTCCCCTACATTTCAAAAATGCCTCCAAACACTTACTTGTCGGCGTAAGACGTCTTCCGCAGTCTCCTCTCATCACAAAGGTAGTAAAGTGTACAGGCTAACACTATCTTTTTCAAAACACCTACTGGAGATCTCAGCACTGCTGATTCCCAGACAATTTAAGGATGAAGGAGCTTACTCAAACATAAAAATGATGCTCTGGACATGCTAACATTTTCCTTCATTCCTCAATGACAACAATCTCAATCTGGACTCACTCGAATTGGGCCCGTCCCTAACATCATTCCTGATGGACCTTAAACCACAGATGCTGAGGTGGAGCGAAAACATTGGGTGCAGCAGACACCTCCATTTGTACGTGAAGTGGTGCAGCAATAGTTTAAGTGTAAAGTAGTCACTAGACCAAGCAGTGTGAACAAAACGTTAGCAACCGGGTAGTCTATCATTGTTGTTTTTGGTGGATACTTATCAAACAAAACAACAATTGGTATGCATGAATTGAGGAAATTACATAATTACTTACCAAATGCTCCGTTTTCACGCCCACACAGACACATGGTAACCTGCACTTTAGAGGGTGTTTTTAAAAATCTCTGTTTTAGTGACCTAAAACTCTGTTTGGGTGTGGACAAGAGACCAAAACTTTATGGAAAACATCCGTTTACAAAAATATTCGTATATGTAGGGAGTGCCTAAGTGTCAGATTGGTAGGAAAGAATAGTATTATTGTTAGTTCAGGAAATGAATGGGAATTAATTTATTTGTGGCACTCATTTAAAATAGCATACTTTTTTTGGTGTTAAGGTCCAAGTTGAGTTGCAAATCCTTTATGTGATTTGTCAAGTTGAGTCATAAGTCATCAAATTTGAGGCTTGAGTCTGAATCCAGTCCAAATCACGTGACTGGAACTCACATCTCTGCTATATACTGACTAAGAGGGGGTGAATACCTGCACAAACATATATTTGATACATCATTAATTTAGATCACTTTGTGTTTAAAATGTCTTCTCTGTTGATCAGGGTAAAAAAAAAAGCCACATTAAATCGATTTTGCTTCAGTGTTGTGAGACAACCGAACATGAGACCTTCCAAGACAGGGATAATAGTTGCCGCTGCAGGAGGCAAAGTAACCCAACAGGCTGCAATCCATCAGCCGCAACTTGGCTTGTCAAGTTGGAGCGTTAATGAATCTCCACCAGAGTTTGCAACACTCTTGCCGACCTCAGCTCAGACTGAAACATCACATGTGGACAGCAAAGCCACTAAAAACGCATATTTTCTACCAACAATACGTGTTTTTCTGGAGCATGTTTTTACATGTGGTCTCAGTCTCTGTTGCTGGCATATTTCCTTTAGAGTATCTGTTGTAGAGAGGCATCCCAAAAGAAAAAAATCTGAGAGGAAAATGGAGAAATATGGCTTCTGGGTGTGGCAAAGCAGAGGCTGAACATTTCACATGACTGCAGTCTGAGTAGCTGAACTCACAAGATCATAACTTTGCCAACAGGGCTGGTTTCTTGCCACATGTGTGGTTTTGCTTCCAGCCCAGACACCTTTTATTATTCAGCAGACTATTTGAAAAAGGTGCTCTGCTCTCGTACAAAGTGTGGAGACTCTCAACAACTACAAAAATGGGGGATTCCTCTTCGCAGTTAAAAGAAGCTGCCGAAAGAAAAGGAGGAGACGATGGGCAGGTCCCGGGCTGTGGTTTGAGGTTATCCTGAGTCATGAAGGAACCTCGTCCTCCTCTCCCTCTGGAAAAACTGACAAGGCTCAGCCACATGAAAACTGCTCAGTCCTGCCAGTCATTTTTGCCAAAGACAACTGCCGTGCAGAGGGGAAAAACACTTTTTATGAGTCATATGTAAACAGCCATGTGTTTCTATGGTTTAAACTGGATACAGGAGCAGCATATTTTCAAATTATAGATGTTTTTGCTGATTTGTAATTTCCATTCTGTCTGTTGTTATGCATCACAAAGCTAAAGGACAGCCAAAACATAATTAGAAAGATTTACAAAAGCCTGACTGAGATCTTATGCTCTTGTCATTGCAGCTAGATGGTGTTTATTTGTTTGTGTGTGTTTTCTAACCAAAGCTGTTACTCAGAGTCATGTGAAATGACACTGCAGCAACCACGCCCAGACTCCAGCAACCACCATTCCTTCTGTCACCACAGGAAATCTCCCTACAAGCTCCAAAACAAACAGAAACACTGAGAATGCAGGTACAGTTGTGTGTCTCATAGTCCTCCCATGTTACAATATACTATATTTAGGATTTAAATCCAGCTGCTTCAGGCAGGGCCACAGAAATGTCTTAAGGTGGAAAAATAAAGCTTTTTAAAATTCTTGGCTCTCTACTGACACTATGTGGCAGGAGGGCAGAACTGCAGTCACACAGAACCCAAAGGACAAAAGAGTATGAAAAGAAAATAGAAGTTTATTGAGAATTCTGAATCCTGCTCACCCTTCCACAGTAGCAGAAAGACAACAACAACACAGACGAACATTAGTTAAAATCTGGACACATAAATACCGCTTCTCTCGTATCATGATATCCAAAAACAATCTATTCCAGTCACACAAACGTAAAGAGGGGAGAGAGCGAGGGGAGGGCAGCTGAGTGTCAGCCCCGCCGCTTCAGAAACAAACAAAAAAAAATAAGCGGCTGGTGGTCAGTCTGTCTCTAAACCTGAACATAAATAATGAGACTGTGCTGTGAAGAGACACCAGTGGAATCAGTGCAGTGGTGGAGTGAGCTGAAGGATTCAGATTGTCTAAATTCCTCTTTCTCCGGGTCTCCTCCTCGATCTTTACAGGGGTAGTTAGACATTTTGGGGAATTATTCGATTTGTAGCAGCGAGTTTGATGACAAGATTGACACCACTCTCATATCTGTACATTAAATATAAAGGTACGACCAGCAGGCCGTTAGCTTAGCATAAAAACTGGAAATGGAAAAACAGCGAGTCTGGCTCTGTCCAAAGGTAATAAAATTCACCTACCAACACCTCTAAAGCTCAGAAATGAATATGAACTTTGTTTTTATTTTGCATTTCCATCACGGGTCAGACTATCTCTTAGCAGGGACCAGTTAGCCTTAAGGGCTTTCTAACTCAAACCATTATCTTTTTTGTAAACCTAACCAAGAAACGGCTTTCTGGCAAAAAGCCCTGAAGGCAAACTTCCCTGACAGTAAGTCACTACCAGTTTCCAAGCAACTGCTAACCGGCACATAACCCAGACTAGAAAAGGTCAACAGAGTGCTGCACGGATGACTTCCTTTTCTTTGTAGGACAACCCTGAAGTTAACATTGCTCTGGTTCCTTGACAAAAAGCCTATGGAATTTTTCAAGAACACAGAAAATGATTTACAAGTTTTGTTCAGCAAAATAAATGAACACCACTTTTATGACTTTTGGAGCCTAAATGCCGTTGCCAAAAAGCTATGACTTAAACGTCAAAATTCACCAGAGGGTGTTTACTGACCTATATTATGTCGTAGAATTAAACGTGAAAGTCTCTTGAGCTTGTGTTAACCACAGACCTTATTTAAAGCATCTAACCAAAAACCCATAGACTTTATGACGAGGGAACTAGAAGTACAAAAATGCTACTTAACTGACATGTTTTAGGATTCTTGCACCCTTTAACTGACCTTTTTACACTTTGTTTGTTGTAAAGACTGAAGAAAGAAGATATCGTGTGTTAATTAAGGAGCTTAAGCTTCTAACAGCTATAAAGCTCATTAATTAAAACAATACTCTGTGTTTAATTGCCTCCAAATGGAGGTCGACTCGCCCTTTCTGGCAGAAATCTCTTAATTTTAACCCTAACCATGATCTTTTTCCTTAACCTAAACCTAACCCCAATGGCGCACTTCTCCCAACAGCTCATTAAAATTTGATTTTCCTCCGTGGTCAATGCTAAATGAAAATTAGGCCACTAGTTTATCCTACTGAAAAATGAAAAAATGAAGAATTTTGATACCCTTGAACAGAGCTAGGCTGTGGATGTATTATTAGATCTGGATACTGGACCCCAAGATTGTGTCTATTTAGTCTGATGAGAGTTGCTAACCAAGCCATACACCAAAAATGTGTCTAGCTTCGATGGTATGCGGTAGTGTTTCTGGAACTCGCCCCGCCCCGAGTTCCTGCTCGTCTCACAGACTTAACATTCTGCTGACGTCCCAGGTTTAAATTATTTTTCTTTACTCGAAGAAGTTTAACAAATAAAATACCATCTTGGATCAAAAATTCACAATAGACAGTCATAACTGACCTTGTTGGCAGTTTGAGGTGTCCTGTCAACAGATTTACAGACATCTCTTTTACAATGGTGGTCTCTGGTCAAAACTGGAAGCAAGGCTGAGCCGCGTTCTTGGGAGCCCTACCTTGCCAGGCTAACTGTTTTCCCATTTCCGATCTTTATGCTAAGTGAAGCTAACTGTCCGCTAACAGTAGCTTCACGTTACCACAGAGAGGTGCCAGTTTTCCCATCCTCTCTTTGCAAGAAAGCAAATACGTGAATTTCCCAAAATTTCGAACTAATTTTTTTTTTGACGGAAGATGAAGCTACGAGGGAAGGGGGTTGACAATACAAATGCAGCTAAGCCTGCTGCTGCAGGAGGGGACACATCTCAGAAAAGTAGCACAGGTTATATTTTCACTTCGGTACCAATACAGACAGTTGTTTGACACACGCACAGACAGCTGGAGAAACGACACAGGCTGATTACAATTGTCTGAACGATTCGTAAATTCATGTTAGTTTAATCTATTTCTACGTTACCTCCTCTAACAGTGGAAAGGAAACAAAAAAGAAACTAATGTTGCTTGTGCCTTGAAAAAAAATAAAAACAACCTGGGTGTGTTCTCTGAATCTTAAGGCAAATTTAACAGAAAGCTTTGTGCAATAACACCACAAACGTCAGACAAACTGGTAACCAAATTCTTACAAATCAGTGATACAAAAAAATAAACAAACAAATAAAACACCCACCAACCAAACTGTCTCTGCGAGTGCCAGCCTGAGTGTACATGCACTGGGGGGCTAATAGGGAGAGGAGGCTTCCAATGATGGAGGGTTTACCACCACCCTTTACCAAACTGTGCCAAATACAGAACAGACGCAGAGCCAGAGATGAAAGCCTACTCTGCTTTTGCACTTTCTTCAGCTTTCTGCCTACCAGCCCTGAACATAAAAACCTTTTCTACGGGGAAAAGTTCCCTGTAACTGATTACATAATGTTCTCATCAGCATGCTCGTGAACAGCAGCAGCAGCAGCATGAGGCCCCTGTATTGTTCAGCTTCCTCTTACCTCACCCTCCTGTTTTTGGCACTGATGAGTTTGGTAAGGTACGTGCATGGAATCCCAACTGTGTGGATGCATCTATGTATTTCTGTATGTATGAGTGCATGTGTGTGTGTGTGTGTGTGTTTGTGATTAAGATCATAGCTGTGCGTTTTTTTATGTCTCGCTCACACTCAAAAATCTTTACACTTTTTCATTTACCCTAATCTAAACCAAAATAATACAGTCTTCAGGGTGGGGAGGGGGCACCTGAAAAGCTTTGTAAAATGCAGGTGACTCCTCCCCTTCTGATGATAACTCTTTCCTGTCTTCTCTACAAATCTTGCTCTTCCACCTGCTTTGTCCAGGACGCTCTAGCGGATGGCCTTGACAGGGCTCTTGAAGCTGGAGGCGGCTTGCAGCTGCAGCTGGTAGGCCATGGGGTGGATCTTGAACCCATACAGCCTGGAGAGAGTACGTAACAAACGTGTGTGAGCATTTCTTCTGGCCACTTTTCAGGTTGATTACAAAACATAGCTAAAAAGGACATGAGTCACTCAGAAGCTACAAATATTAACTTCAAATAAAATAAGCGAGATGCAACATAAACAAGCAAACTGAACTAAATGAGACTGAGTACGCTGTGAACAGTGATGTGTTTGCTTTCAGGGAGAGAGCAGGGATGTACTCGTAACATCTTAAGCTCTTGCTGTTTTCCATCACCCCACCTTGTCTGTCTCCTCGTGTGATGTGCCTGTACAGACATCACAACACAGTGAAATAGGACTCATGAAAAGGATGTGAGGAATAAAATTACCTAAAGTGATCAGAAATCTAATGACATTTTTAGTTTTATTATCAGCCTGAGACCAAGACTGGGGTTTAACTGAAGAAAAGCATGTGATCACTGCCACATTAAATGTTAGATGTTCATTTACGACACATGCTCAAGTTAATTTGTGGCACCATGTGCAGTGAGTTCTCTACAGCTGAAACAATTAGTCCAGTAAAGCCATAATCTAATATCAACTGTGGAGTGTACTGGTATGTGTACTCATCCTGAAATGGTTGGTACAGGACATTCCGTATGCCTTGTGACCCAACCATCAAACTGTGCTACTTATGTGTACTTCTCACACTTATGAGATATAAATAATGGAGTGCAGTTTTGGAAGTGCACTAGCCTCTGTCTATCAGCTGCAGCATGCTACTCTGCTTAGCCTAGCTGGCTGAGTTAGTCAAGCTCAGTTTGTACGAAGCACTTCAAACATTTCATTTACAACAACATCATCTGAATGTGTCGACTAACAGAACGAGACAAAAACACAAGTCAAGTCCCTCTCCCCACAGCGTTCAGGCAGCCTCCCACTGCAGATTCTGACTGTGCCAAAGTAATAACGAATGTTTTTATCACTACGTACATGCGACCAAACTTGCATAATACCAGGGGTGTAAATCACAAGTTTCATCACGATACAAAACTATACAGAATCACAAGTCTTGCATGATATGATTTTGATTTGATAAAATTTAGGGGCCTCCGACCGATGTAAGATGATACCAGTAAATATCCTTCATGTCTTTTTCCTGACTGCTTCCCATTGTGTGTGTGTGGCAGTAGGCTGCTAGCAATGTTTGAATGTTTAGTAAGGAGGAGCACTTGGACAGAAATGGTGACACAGACGTACCGTGGCAAATTCAGAATAGAGGCAATCTTTAAGATGATGATACACATCAATGTTTTCAATATGGGTCGATAATATTTGATTGTTGACTACTGCATCGATATTGTTACATTCCTACATAATACTGTAACTTATATTGTGGATAATACCAAATTAAAACATATGATTTAAGTGCTTGAGCCACGTGCCATCACGTGTGCATTTTTTTTTTTTTAACATCAGGGACCATGTACAGAGAACATTGGACTCAACAGAGTAAAGATACACCAGATTATAGCTTTTTAGCTAGTTTCCATCTGCAGTCCCTGAGGCAGGCAAAAGAAGAAATAACAAAAGAAAAATTATTCTAGTCAGTCCGTTCTGCCCGCCCTGTTAATGAGTGCTGGCTGCAATTCTTCTGATGGGGAGTTATATTAGTGATATTTGTGCTATTTATTTTTAGTATTTGAGCCACTGTTGAATGTTTAAATTTTTCAAGGCACATTAAAAAAGGTATTTTCTGCCCCCTAACCCTAACCCTAACCCCTCCGTTAAACCCCTTAAATTAATAAACTTTTTTTTTCCAAGCAAAAAAAGATAAACATTGTCTCGGTCCAGCTCGGAGTGTTGGTCTGACAGAACAAGCATTTCAGTACAACCACTGTTGGCATTTTTGATGGACATTTTTGGAACTTCCTGATGACCTGTAGACAAAACAAATGTAACTTGCAAGCATAAAACGCAAAACAGAAAGTGCCGATTGTGACTCAACTACAATATTACAATTAAAAGAAATGCACCAGACAGTTTGATGATCTGGTCTCATTTCATATTAGCATAACTATCGCTCATCAGAATAGATTCATCAGCCTATAGTGTACGGCTGCATTTTACTGACTTAAGTCATCAAGGCGATTATTATGTTCAACTTTAAAATAACTTATTTTTGAGCATGAGCAACATTATAAATGAGGGATTTTCCTGTTGTCGTATAGTATTTGTTCCATATTAGTATAGATGCTGTGATTGGTGGACTCTTTCTAATGATGTGCGCTTCAAGTGTGTTTCTAATGGTGTGAACAGTAAGACAGTGTCCTCTAAAGCACACATTGACTGGTCAGAGTGCAGATAAATTACTGCTGCAGTGCATCACATTTCTACAGGAGCACACCTTCAAGTTTGATCTGTCGTACTCACCTTGGGACAAACTGGTTGGCGGGCCTCTTGGGCCTGTACTCAGGGTGAACCATGAAGAGCATGTGAGGAAAGCCAGTGCCAAAATAGGCTCCATCTGTGTGGTGGTGCCTGGAGGACTTGGGTGTGTAGACGTCCATACATTTAGGACAGTAAAGCTTCACCATGGCCTCTCCTGGGATGTCTGACAGGCCTATGGATAAAGAGGATGAGGAAGGACAGTAGAGGAACAAAGTGGTTTAGATATCAGATATAGGCAAATCTTATCACAGCACGGGGATGCTGCTCGTAGAGTACAAAAATATCCATGCTGCTTGTTGGTGTTTTCACTCTGCATTAGTGTTGTCACGGTACCAAAATTGGGACCCACGGTACGATACCAGTGACAGTATCACAGTTCTGAATAGTATCACGATACCACAGCAAAAATGAGGCAGATGTGCCTTTTGTCGTTTATAAAAAGATAAATCACTTTTCTATAATACATCAATGATATTTCAATGGAATAAATTACTTACTGACTTATTCATACTTCAAAAACAGCATCAATAAGTGATTAACATAGGGGGGATTGAAATAAAATAAATAAATAAAATAAAAATCAACCAGCCACCCTCCTCCCCTGACAAGTTAAGAACAGTCCCTAAAGTGCGGTGAGGTTTGTGGACCATTACCTGCCACAAAGAGAGAAATGTGAACGGCTTGTTTCCCCTCTGACACGTCACATACCTGTGTGCCGCCATGGCTCGGTTGTTCAGGTATTTCTGGGCAGTCATGACACCAACGAAGAGGAAATTATTGGACCGGGAGCTGGGCTTCTCGGTGGCTGGTAAGCCGTTATCTTGCGCCGCGGAGCTCTATGGCTCTGCCGTATTCCTGTCTGTGACCCCCGTTCAACCCACAACCGGCAGGATTTGCCTTTCGTTTCTGCTGCTAGTTGAAATCTGTACTCGCACAGCGTGCTCCTGAATGATTTCTGTTGCTCGCACAAAACTATTTTTAATCGCAAATGCAGTAAAATGCTTGCATCATAGAGCTCTGTGGAAAACAAATCACTAGCATATATAAACAAAACGAGCCTACAAGTAAAAATAAAAAAAATAACAACTTTCACTGCTTAAAGATACTCAGCTACTTAAAGTAGCTCAGCTAATACCTGAAATGTCACTGGAAAACAAACCACTGCAGCGGCATACTGAGTGCCAGGTAGCCAGCGTGCGCCGTTATTGGACCGCGCACGCCGTTATTGGACCGCGCACAGACACTCACCCTCTTGTGATTGGACTTTGAACTTATCCCACAGTAGTGGTACCGTGAGGTACCGTAGTACTACGGTACTCCAACATTATGGTATCATATGTACTGTGGTGTTTAAGTACCGCGGTCTACCGTTGGTACCAGTATACCCTGCAACACTACTCTGCATCAATTTTATCATCACGTCAATGCAAATTTATGGTTTGAATTGCACTGCGAGATTTGTCACGGACAGAAGGGGTTGGTGGCTCTAAAAATCTACAGAAAGAAAACTGACTGTGCCCTTTAACATTCACAAAAACAACACATCACTCACAACGACGTCTCTGTGAGACAGCAGTCATTACATTCCTAAATAACACTCTTTGATCCTCCGGAGCAACAAACTTGATGCAAAACCAAAGTTTGTGTATATTTCCAATGGTGAACAAATAGACACCTATGGTTACAAGTGTTAATTACCGTCATGGAAGCCACAACATTTTCATACTTGCCGACCACATTGTGCTGCTTTACCCTGTCTTGTAGGAAGTCGTTTGAATATGAATGTTTTTACTTACCGATAGGAAGCATGGGCTGATTCTCACAATAGACCCGAGGGCAATAGCCGAAATCTCCCTGTTGATACTTCTCCAACTGCAAGATATAAAACAGGATATTATTATAGTCTACTAAAAATACTGATAGGTGGCAGGCAATCCTTAAAATTTACACCTGAAAAAATGTGCCAGGAAAAAAGTTTAACATTTGTGAGATTACAGTAAAGATAATAAAAAAGTAAATACAATATTATACATATATATCTCCTCCAACTACAGAATGGAGGGCCTCACAGGTCTACCGGGACCCTTGGACCCAAGACCCAATCAGGATGGTACGGATTTGGATCCACGTTATATTATGGTCAATCATGTCTGCGTTGAGTCCCATTCTATTACTGCAGGTCCCAGGTTTATCATCATGTTTATCATCTTGTATAATACCCATGTGGATCCAAGAAGAAATGCATAAACCCTGTGTGTGTTACTAGCGCTGTGAATAGGCTGACTTAGGATCAGATTAGAAGAGCAAAAGCAAGGTGAAAAAACAAAAGAAAAAAAAGAAAGTTGAGCAACAGCGCCACCAAGTTGGAGACAGATCAGAAGACAGATGAATAGTGAGCTCAACAATATTCACAACTTGGATGAATTTCATTAAAAAAACTCTTAATTCTTTTGATTGGTGGACCCTTATGGACTAAAGAGACAACCACAACAACAAAATAACTGATAATAAAATACAATTAAAAATAAATATAGAACATTTAAACATTATATATAGTAAAATGGGTAAGAACAGTTTGTTGTATCTCACATGAAAAATGTTTTTAGTAGTAGAATGGCATTTTTAATGGCAATTTGAATTACCGGGTTTATTGAATCTATAAAAAAGACCTTAGTCTCGTCTCTCTCCTCTTAGACCCGTCTCTCTCCTCTTAGATATGCACCCGATTGGGTCTATAATATCTTAGGAATTCACCTGCATGAATATATCGACAGTTGCCAGTTCCTGGGCGATGGAAACGATGAATCAATCAAAAATAGTTTTATGTCCTGTCGATCAATTAATATTAATTGCTGCTCTACATTGTGTATTTACTTCTCAATTGCATTTGCCTATTCTGTGATGAGCCAAGACAAAAATTTCTAGCGTTACTCTGTGGCTAAATTCACACTACAAGCCTTTGTGCTTTGATTTATTGTTCAGATGCCACTTTTTTAGTCTGGCTGTTCACATTCTTTTTTATATGTGGCTAATATCTGATTCCATAAGAGCTGATCACAACTACGAACTGACCTGCATGCACAAAAGAACAAAATCAGAGACGTGACACGCTGTCGTCTAAGTAAACATGAGGGCCACTCATGTTTACTGAGTTTTGCACTGTTTAGATTTGCAGCGAATTTGTGAGCAGATGATGAGGAGAAAGACAGTTGAGCTTTGATTATGGCTTTTTGTGATGCAATGGCTGCTACTTCTGTACAGAGGTGTGTGTGGTTGTGGAGTCAGAGCCAGGAATGGTGGGATCGACACATGGATGGGAAGTCACATGAAAAAAATCAGACCTGTTTCTGAGTTAGGACCACATGGCCCGAACCAGAATTAATAAGATCTGAGTTTAAGAATGTAAAAGCAAATACTGTCAGGAATGTAATTAAAGCATGACACCGCTTGATCATGTACTATCAGGTAATAAATTAGCCCTTTATAATGCAAACATCTACCAGCCACCTTCATATTTTCCAGCATTTGTCTGGTGCTAATTTCCCACCCTCTGTGATTGATCCTTCTATTGTTCTGATGGTGCCATCAGAAGGTGGAATCTGACACTGAGCTATAAATCCAAACTTATGTTGTAAGTATCTATGACAGAACTGTTGTTGCCCCTTGCATCGAGCGTAAACCCAGCTTTAGAAACTGTGAGTGACAGCAATTTGCTTCAGTATACAACCTCTGTAATCATGCCTGACCAATGTTTATCCATTTTCCTATTCGTCCCACAAAAATCAAGCATCATCACCCCCTTTTAGCAGCAGCAGTGTTTGAAGCTGACAGATTTCATCTCACACGGTGTAAGTAATTTTCCACCCCGTCGAGAAGAAAGTAATGGAAAAACAGCTTCCCTAATGTAGACAGGGGTAGTGGAGTTTGCTGATGCAGCTGACGCCTACCATCTGTGCGATGCCTCGATTAGTGAGGATGTAGCGTGCATGGATGAGGCCGTACAGCATCTCGGCTGCCTGCTCGATCAGGTCGCTCTGGTTGGGATTGTCCTCCAGCTCCTCATCTGAAGAAAGAAGGGAGCAGAGAACACTGTTGGTGTCCACATTTCTTTTTGATGATTCACAGAGATGCAAAACTGTGCTGAGAAACATTTTCAAAAAGGACAGGGAATACCAAAAATACAACAGAGAGAGAGAGTGCTCCTCTTAGATTAGACAAAAAAAAGAATAGGGACACAACAGTTTTCAAAACATTTTCTAATCTTGGAAAGGGCATAAAGACAACAGCAATTCTGAGGGAGCCTGAGGAGAAGTTAAAATAACTCACATGGTTTCACAGATTCTGTGAAAATGTACAATGTGACAAGTATAAAACGGCCTGCACTGCTGGGTGTTAATGTGTAATTATCTGACAAGGAGAGAGGAAACCTGAACAGCAGCTGAGCAGGAAAAATAACCTCAAAACAAAATAATGCCAAGATCAAATGTTCTTTTTATTTAATAAATGACGTGTAACAGTGCTCAGCATGACAGATTAAAAGTGCAGTGTACGTTACAGTCAAGATAAATGATGATAGCCTTCTAAATGAAACACCTGACACTCCTTTACTCTTTCACCTCTTGATCTGTTACACATGTTCACTGGTAAATGAAAATGAACATTTGGTGTCAGCATTTAGATTTTAAAACTGTTTAAGGTTTCTCCTGCTCTCCTGATGGTTCTCTCTCCCATCTAGACAATTATTGACTGTTCCCACTGTGCTTAACTAGATTAAAGAATGTGGAGGTATGAATATTTATACAGACCTGGTTCAAGGTCCAGGATCATGTCTAGGGCCTGGCGGTAGTGGGGAACCTGCTCATTGAGCCCCGTCAAGTTGAACTTGTCCTGGATGTAGTCTTCATCCACCTTTAGTTGAAGAAATCAGATCAGAAAACTGATTATTAGGAAACAAGTTAGCATGGCATATAACTGACAGGATAGGTTCAGGTTTTAGGCGTTTTAGTCGCTATAATCATTCAAGTTCCCTTTCAAATGTGAGAACACCTGGGCAGAGGGGTATTGTTTTAAGCTAAACTTGAAAAATTGTGAGCCTATTTAATAAGGAAAAGAGGTTTGTAAGAGTCAATACAGAGCATGTGAATTTGAGGATGTAGCTGACTGCTTCTTCACTTGGCTCACACAAAATTTAAATGTACATGGTTTGTATTAACTTTGACGGAAGTGACGTTTCAAAACCTGAGTAATCTTGTTTTTTTTGTTACCTTGCAGTCACTTAACGCCATTTTCCCCAGCTTATAGACTGACAACATTTCCTGACACCAAGTAAGTATGTTTTATCATTCAAATTCTTCTGGTAACACGTTAAATGAAGGGATCTTGGAGTGAAATGCCTGAAGATATTAATACAGCACACAATGCATATTATACAGTGGTAGCTCAGGGCTAGATCTGGCTGTGTCATCAAAACACAGTACAATAAGCTTTACTCAGCCCACACAGTTATCGTTTCAATTAACGAGTCCAGCTTTTGTTTTACATTTAGTTCTGATTTGTCACTACATGGATGGCAACAATGTGTATATACACAGACATATCAGATAGAGAACAAGGCAACACACCTCACAGAAAAACTCATTCCCCCTCAGTCCACAGAACCAGGAGATCCATGACACTTCCTCTGAACTGCTCATCTCTGAAGACCTGTAAAACAGAGGTTAAAATACTCAGCTGTGATCCAGATATTGGTCAAATATCATTGAACTCACACTAATTGTAATATATTAAGTATAATAGTAACAACTTCCAGTGTCAAATACATATCTTTAACTGGTCAGATTCTTCCCCAGTATGTCCACAATGCTAGATTTGGTCCAAAAGCAGTGATGTGAAAATGTAATACTCTGTCATGACAAGAATAACTTGGCTGGATGAAGCAATACTGCCCAAATCTGATGAAGGCTAAGCTAACAAGCTAACTTAGCCGGCGTTATCTTGTTAATACTGTTAAATTTTCAAAGTAGTCGTTGCAGTACAACCTTTTATCTTGAATCCGTCAAAAACATATAATTCGTGATAAGCCTAACCTTGAATGTCTGGTGTTGTCATAAGACACATAAGCGGTTAATGTAGCCGACGTTAGCTCGCTAAGCTAAACCCCGCTAGCTGCTGGGACCCAAACTGAAATTCAATATGGCGCATCGTTAGAAAACAGGCCTCGGGACAAAGATGAGCTCTTTTTTGAGCTCCCTCCGCCTCTGCGTTTAAACGTCTCGATACAGTTATGTGAGCGAGTGGGTCCACTTACCCGGCTTTCAACTTTTAGACTTCTTAAAAAATCCGACAGCTCAAAAATTTAGCAAGCTCACCGGTGTAAATAAGATGGACACCACCTCCCAGTTCACCCTCTACGTTCTTCCTCTTCCTCCCGAGACTCGGAGGCGGCGGACAGCGCCGATGGCGCACTGCTGCCGCCCACTGGTGACATTGAGTATTACACATTCTTTAAAAGCGCACTTTCATTGGTTTGTTTTGCAAAAAGGAAGAACCTGTATTTCCATCCGTTATCTCTTCTTTTTTTAACAAACTTCATCAAGTTTGGAGTTATTTTTCCAAATTAAAAAGAGCCTAAATAACCCTTTGTACTATTTGTACTTACTGTTACATAAGCCCCCTCTCCTCTCTCTTTGTTTTATTCTCTTGTCTGTGTGAATGATGTCCTTCAGTTTTGTTTTTATGTGTTTGTGTAATCTGTTTCCAGGTTACAGGGTGTGCAGGAGGCTGTGTGGCTCAGGCTTGAGCTGCTTGCATCCATTTTTCATATATGTTCACATTCTATGAATCATTTTGTCATATGGATTGTCTATATTGTCCTTTTATTATGTTGGTCTATCCTGTACACACATCTATTGCACGCCTTTGAGTAGTGCAGTTTGAGTAAGTAGGTACTGAGTAAGCATTGACACAAACTGCAAATGATAAAAATATAATGCATGCATTTCATGTCATGTTCTGGGGCCACATGTTTCTGAGGGCCGCCACTGGTTTGTTTGAAAAACAATGCACTAAATTCACAGTTTTCACAGTGCACCGGTTTGCGTATTGGTTACAGACTTATGGGTCTGATTTTCTGACAGCATCAGGAATACATTTTCTGCTTGGCAGCCCACTCTAAAATCTGATATACTGTGCCTCCAACATAAACAGACTGAAATGAATGCACTATGAAAGATGACTAAATGTTGACTGTGAAACAAAATCTCAAAGAAACTGAAATGAACTCATGGGCTTCCTACTAAAGAGCTAGAAAGCACATTTACTAGTTCACAAATGTATAGTATTGCGGTCAGTAATTTAGCTTAAAGGTCCAGTGTGCAGGATTTAGGGGCATCTATCGGTAGAAATGTTTTATTATAATCATAACTTTGTTTTCATTAGTTTCTAATCACCTGAAAAAAAGGATTGCTGTGCATTCATTACCTTAGAATGAACTGTTTATATCTACACACGGAGCAGTTCATCTTCCACAGAGTGTGCCATGTTGTTCCACAGTCTATGGACAAACCAAACACTGGCTCTAGATAGTGCCATTAATGTTTTTGCGACGCTTAGCACACCAGAAAAGTTTCGGTTCTGCAATCATACACGCTGGACATTTAAAGCAAACTGAAAATATAAAACACAAAAAGTTGAAAAAATAACAGCAGTGTCATCCAGGTCGCATTTTGATGAAATTAAGCATTAATTTGATTTCTTTATACCATTTTAACACAGGCCAGTGGCATGGAGACATTTCAAGACTGCTCTATCACTAAGTATACAAATAAGAGTCCTTTCATTTTCATTAACACTGGTTTAAGTAATAACATTAATTCTGACTGCATTCCTATGATGTTGGCTCACTGGTATGTCGACACACCTTCAGCACATAGAGTAACACCATCATAATTATTAGTTACACCTATGATTTTCCTGCTGTGACATGCAGCGACAAAAGTATTTAAGCTTGCTCAAGTATTTTTGTCACAATATTCCAAGAAAAATGAGACATGCGCTGACATTTTCCATTAAATCAAAAGTAGTTTATTTAACTTTGCCTTCTCTGTATAACTTTATTATAATAAGACACTTCTCTGCTTGTACATTGCTCCCTTGAACTAAAAATGGCAACATTTTGTTTGTGGGAATGTAAGTTGGGGTAGACAAAACTTAGATACATACCAATATACATACATGTGTGTATATTACGGTTCCATTAATAAAACCATAAATGCTAAAAAACAGTTTGAACCACTCCAGGTACCTTGGTAATGCTGGAAACATAGTACAATCTTTGAGTATGTTTTTTTTTTTTTGTCTGGAATACACTACTTTTGTTTTCTTTTAACATGGGTACATAAAATAATTCGCACATCAACATTAAGAGTTAAGGAGGGATGAAGGACTCTTTGAGCCAGTGTTAAGTGTACAGCTATCAATGTATAAACCAGTAACAGGCAAGGCAAGCTGCACCCATGGGCGTGTGTTCATGCTTAGAGGTGAGAAAAATAAAATATGTCCAACTTCGCTTGCCTGCTGAAGAATGTATGATTAAATTACACACTCACGCACACACAAAATAAAGGGTTATTTCTCCATTGCATGTTCTTTGAACATATACACACAGCTGGATGTATATATGCGGATGTATTTAAGAAAACAGTAGAATTGTCTTAATAATATCGGTTAAATCAAGTGTGGGCAAACAAGGCAGAAAGTGCTTGCCATTCATGTTACCCCCTCTGGTCCCCCACCCCTTCCCCGAGTTATTACACAAACACCAATAAATGCACACATGCCACACACACACAAGCACGCACACATGTACACGAGTCATCAAATGCCCTACTCACAACATCCCAGAGACGATCTTCAAACTGTTGTCAGTAAACAAACAAACCCCAACTTACAGCAGTGACAGAATTGATGCATGAATCGATTTTTAGTTCATCTTGGATGTCGTCTCCGTGTGCCATTTTATGTCTTTTTATGTATGATACAAACTACAAGTGTAATCCTACATCAATCCAATATTTCCTCAACACTCCGGGTCGGCACTATTTGCTGCGAGTGAAATCTTGGAAACAGTGAAAGGAGGTGACTCGCGTTGACACCTTGTCAGCATTGTCCTGAACTTAATTAGTTTGGGCTTCTGGTCGCCACCGTGTACTGAAACAGCCATCCCGAAGAACACGCGCTTTGAAAAATACTTCCTCAGACAAGGAGCTCTTGGTAGTAGTCCTTTCTTGGTGTGAGGAGTCTCCACAAGAGCACAGAGAGAAAGGGGGGTGTAATAGTACAATACTCTAGCTCTGTACTCTGGGCCCAGACAGAGTACCTGTCCTGTTGCATCACATGTAACTTGCCCAAAAACAAACACAAAGAAAAAATAAAACAGCAACCATGGGTTTTTCTTATACGACAAGGAGTGCTTAACATATTCAATTACCTACTGAAGCATAAACAATTTTTATGAAAGTTTTTTCTTTAGTCTATCATGACCTACATTTTTATTTAACACATTTCCCCCCGAGAAGATCGATCATCTTCAGAGAGATAAATATTTCCATAAAAATGCAAGTCGCTGAGGAAATAATGGTTGTTAAAATAAAGCCATCAAGCTATCAATACAGTCTTCATAGGGTAAACAAAACTCACAAATGAGAGAGGGAGTAAAACTTTGGGAAAATTTATGCAGAGCTTTTTGCAGGTAAGGAGAAGGATGCTACGACGAGGCTGAAAAAGCCTTTATTTCCCAAAAAACCAAAAGCTAATGAAATGTCAAAGCAGGTCAACAACTTAGGGAGAGGGAGAGAAAATAAAAATCACACCATCTATCTGAACAAGCAGCAGAGACATTGATATCAAGACAAATCAATGTGATCAATGCAAAGTGTAGATGAGCACTGAGCAGTAGTAGTTGAATGGATCTTATCACAGTAATCAGAGATGTAGTTTGCAGGAGACCAAAAAGTCAGCAAAAGGAGGAGCTGGGGAATTTAGTAAAAGGTATTTTTAATGACCTGCTTTTTAGAAGAAAAACACACACCCCTAACATTTCCCAGAGGCTCAAACTCAAAAAAAAAAGACACAGAGAAAACATCTTATGGTACATTGTTCTCGTTAAAAGATGAAGCTGCACTCTTTCCCTTTGTGAGGGAAGTAATGCAGAACTGCACTACTGAATACCACCCAAGGCCAAAGTGTGGTAGAAATATACACAGGTACATAAATATAAAAGTTAGCCCAATCCAAACATTTTTGCCAATTTTAATCCCACTTTTTTTTTTCCATTTTCCAACCCACATGACCACATGTGTTCCGTGTTGTTTGTAGAGATGTCATATTTGTGCTTGTATATGCGAGTGTGTGTGTGGAGCTCTGTGTGAATGTCTTCTGTCAAAACGACGTGCACCTCCCATTTGCAGAACCACATGCTTTTCAAATCCAACTGGGGTGAGAATCTTTTGGGGGGGGGGGGGGGGGGGGGGGGGGGGGGGGGGGGGGGGGGGGGGGGGGAAAGGGGGAGAGGGGGGGGCACAACTGAACGGAGAGCAAGACGGAACAAACGGAGAAATTTACAATAACGGACGGTAGATAGTAGATTGATGCAAAGGGAGAGAGGTGACCGGGATGGAGGTTGGGTGGGGGCACTAGAGTGAAGGTGAATACCATCTCCATTTACTGTACAATGCGCTAATATGTTTAGGGATGCCAACAGATAAGCCATGAAGTAATTATCAAAAAGGTATTAAGATGTAGGAGGATGGTTTTAATGAGAGTGGGGTTCATCTGAAATGTTCTGAATTCTTTCATCACTTCCTATTTTTCGGGGAGGGCCAGTTGCCACGCTTCTCCCCGCGGTTGCCACCTCCATTACCGGGGCCACCAGAGCCACCACCAGGAGGGCCTCGTGGGCCTCTTCCTCCCCCTCCGCCTCCACCTCCTCCAGGGTTGACCCTCCGGTTCTGTCGCTCCATGCCAGGACGCTGGCTTGAGAAGCTTCTTTTATTCGCCGAGGGCTCTTTTCCTGTCATGTCGCGGTCAATGACACCTCCACCTCCGCCGCCCCCTCCACCCCTTCCCAGGTGGTGGGGATGATGAGAAGAGTAGGACTTCCCTCCTCCTCCTCCCTCCCTGTCTCTGAACTCTGTGAAGTCGCTGCTCTCAGAGGCAGTCTCCCACTCCTCGTTGGCCTGGTCCGAGTTCTGGTTGGTGAAGTCGGGGGACTTTGCTCCATGGCTGTGGTGGTGCTGGGGGTGGGTCTGCCCAGCGTTGCCCTGGTTGTAGTGGTGATGGTGGTGACTATTTGCATTGCTTAGATGCCCGCCACCACTGTTATTGTTGGTTGTTAGTGTGGGGTTGTGGTTAGCATTTTGGGCGTTGGCCGTCACAGGAGCAGAGATGGGGGCTCCGTTACTGTCCTGAACTGAATTCAGGGAAGGAGAGGAGGGCCTTCCTCCCCCGATGACCCCCACTCCTCCGTTGATGCGTGCGGCATTCTCTCGCTCCTTCAGTCTCCGGAAGCGGGGGGGCTTGTCCTGCTGGTGCTGGGACCGCCCGTGACGGCGACGTCTAGGTGGTCGCTCAAACCCGCTGGGAGGGAACCCACGGTTTGTGGGAAGAGGGAGTGCGTTTGGCCCTCCAGAGTTTGCCATAGGGTTTGTTGACGCTTGCTGGGTTACAACGCCTCCATTTTCAGTGGAACTTAAAGTGGCAGGAGTTGCAGCGGGCAAAGACGACTGAGGGGGATTGGACCCCTGACTTTGAGTTTGACTTGCATCAGCTATCTTGTCTTTCTTCTCTCCTCCATTCCCCCCCCTGCCCAAGTCTTTGGGCCCAGAGGTTTGAGGCGGGCCTTGCTGCTTTCGGGCTGAGCCTGCTGACTTGGAGGACCCACCATGAGAGGCTGAGGTGGGTCCAACTCTGTGTCCCCCTGGTGGTCCTCCAACATTGCCACCACTTCTGTAGATGTTTCCACCTCCACTACCTCCACCTCTTCCCCTCCTAGAGGGCACACCCCTGGGGGTGAAGACCCGGGCCTGGGAACCTCTGGGTGGCGCAGATGGCATGTTGCTGCTGCCAGTGGTGGTGGCATTATCAGGGCCATTCTTAGTATTGGGTTTCTGGTGGTCCTCCTTGTCTGAATGACCAAGGTCACTTGCACCACTCTCACTGCCAGTCTCTGAACCTCTCTCCCTCCTTCTCTTGGGGATTTCCTCATACTCTGAACCCTCACTGCGGGTTTCACTTCGGTTCCTGGCCCTGGCTGGGTTATGCTGGGACCGATCCTGACCGTGCCTGCCACCGCCCCCTTCGCCCTTGGAATCATGGTGGTGGCCAGTGCCAACAGATGAGCGGTAATCTCTGCCGCTCCTTCCACCCATTCTTCCCCGACTGGCACCAGCGGGCCCAGCAGCAGCTGTGTAGGTGCCCCGGTAACCCCGGCCACGCCCGTAGAACTCCCCCCCACGTCCACGACTGGCTCTGTTGCCTTTGGCGGGGACTCCATGGTGGTGGGAGGTGCCGCCTCCTCTCTCAAAGGAGCGGTCCCTGTCCCTCCTGGAGGAGGACCCTGAAAATCCCAAATTGGTGTCCACATCTTTGGGCCCTCTACCAGACCCGCCCCCACCTCCACCAGAGGACCGTTCTTTTCCTCCATTCCTGGGTTTGGCTGTCTGGGCTGACTCATCTTTAGATGGAGCTGATGTATTCTGGGAGGTGGAGGAGGCTTCCTGTTTCATGGAGGCTGGCTGGCCACCATCTTTCTCTTTATCTTTCCCAAAGCTTGGTTTTTCTCCTCCTTCAGCCTCCCCTCCGTCCCTCTTCATCTCCTTTGGTACTGGCTTCTTAATGGGGCCAGCCCTCTTGTTGGCATTGCTGCCTCCGGTCTGGTTGGAAGGTTTGTGGTCTGATGAAGTGTTGGAGGAATCCTCCCCTCCACGGGGGTTGTTCCCACCTCCTGCATTGTTGGCCCTCCTACCATGAGAGGACCCCCCACCTGTATTGCTGCTGCCAGGACGGGGGCCCCACTGGGTCTCTGTCTTGTGCTCCCGCCCCCCTCTTTGGTTTGATTTAGGATGGGGGTGCTGCTGTTGCTGTGTATGACTGCCATGTTGAGAGGGAGGTGGGCTCGAGGTCAATGAGGAATGAGGAGCGTATGCCGGGCCTGTTTTCTCCTGTTTCACATGACTGCTACTGCCAGCACTGCCACTGTTGCCTCTTTCACCATGACTGTGCCCGACACCAGCCTCACCCTCTCTCTGTGATGGGTGATGATGCAGGGCAACTTTGACATTCCCATCTTCCCTGGCAGAGGAGGAGGAGGAGGAGGAGCAGGAGGATGACAGTGAAGGTTGGTGAATTGGGGGAGAAGAGTCTGTCTTCTTACCAGCGGCCTCAACAACCCTGTCTCGGGTGCTCTCTGGCTTATGGGGGTGGAGAGGGAAGTGAGGCTGCTGAGGGTGGTGGCTATGATGGTGGTGGAGATGAGAGTTGCTCTCAACAGGAGGGTGATCAGCACGACCGTTGCGATCATAGTGAGGGTGTGGAGCTCCCCATATCTGTCCCTGCTGAGACCCTCGTGGAGGCCCATCATCCTGGTGGGTGTAGCTATGCGGCTGATTTCCTCTCTCCGCCCTCTGCTGCTGCTGCTGCTGGTGGGGATGCATCCTCCCACCCTGCTCAGGGAAGTTGCTGTAGTTGCTCCGGCCACTCATGTAGTGATGAGGGTGGTGGCCACCACCCTGGGTCCCAACCTGAGTGCCAACTGGAGGTGGAGTCTGGTTGGATGTCCCAGAGGTGGAGCTGGGCTGCTGAATGGGTCCCAATCCACCCTCTCGCATGCGGTGTGGAGGGGTGTCGCTCCTAAAACAAAGGAGAAAGAATAAAAAACACTAAATTAATCAATTAAATTAAAGGAACAGTTCAAAATAACTTTTTTCCCCACTGACACCTTGAGTATTATGAGAACAGTATGTGGAGCTTGGACACAGTATCAGAAACACCTGTACAATCTAAAGCAATTAAACAGCCCTGAAAACAAATACCACCTGTAGACAACTTCTAACATTGTTCTCAGTACATATAATAGTTGTTGTAGCAAACAACCTAGGGCAGAAATACTAAGACAAGAGAAAGTAAAACTCAAATTATATAGTAGAATTTTAAGAGTTAAAAATCCAAAAAATGTTTTTTATTCACCTGAATATGTTAAACCTGAAGGAAACCCACTATGTGAAAGTAATCCCCGTGAGCAAAAACCATAGGCTTCAGATCGTTCTGAACACTGTTTTCAATGTTTTTCTTCTTCTTTCGAGACAAACTGACATTAGCTTGTGACAGATTTCTTCATATGGTTATCTGCTCCAGGCATGTTGCTGCAACTGTTTACATTACGTAGCCTACCCCGCTACATGTAGCTACATGTTCACGTCAGCAATGTTGTCCATTTCTCACAGATTTTGGATCATATTTCTAGAACAGAGTTGGGTTTAAAAGCATTTATTATTGATTTTTTTTATGGTATGAAGTGCCGCTGTCCTCCATTAGAGTCATTTCCCAGCTGCATTGACAGTGAAGATAGACTGAGACGTGGAAGACCCAGACACGCTGACCATTCGGAGCACCCTGGGCATTTTCAGGAGAGGGGGTTACGAGACAGGCAGTAAAACTGTGCATTTCAGACAGGGTGAATACAAGTGTTCCAACACCGACTGCATGAGGAAAATAAAATGTTGTTTGACCATTAAAGCATGTAAACATGTTCTAGTAGAAACCCAAAATACAAGTATGAACCTGAAAATAAGTGTAACAGGTTCCCTTTTTATCCCCAAAACTGACGAGTGTATCCGTACCTGGGCCCTTTGGCCACATCATCATCCTCCAATGCTTGCTTCTGCCTGAGAGGCGATGTTAGCCCACGGCCCTCCCCTCCGCCAGGGAATACCTCCTGCCCCCAGGCCAGCTTAGGATCCATAGGGGGGGTCCCACGGTGAGGATGCCCCGGATGCTGTTGCTGCCTGTCAAAGGGATCTGAACCAGATCCCCCCGAATCAGACCGCTCACGCCCAATGAGCCCTGCAATAGTAAAGAATTCTTCTTTAAGAAAATATCTTAAGAGATACTTTCACAAAACAAGGCGTATGGTTTACTCGGGTCACATCCACTCACCTGAGGGATGCATGCCCGCTGAATAGTAGTCCATAGGTGGAGGGCGGCCCTGCATCATACGGGGGTCCATGTAGGGCATCATCATCCAGCGAGGATCAAAATTCATTGGCAGGGGTGGGGGTCGGACCATATTGCTGGGTTGATACATGGGTCCACCCTGCTTGGGTCCAGGCCCCGGCTGGGGTGTTGAACCCGGTGAAGGACCCTGCGGAGCCTGGGGCTGAGGGGACAGCTGACTTTGAGATGCCTGGCTGTGCTGCTGCTGTTGTTGCTGCTGCCACTGCTGCTGCTGCTTCAGGAGCTGCTCCTAAAAAGAAATAAATGTGAAATGGAAACTATAGCAACCAGGTGTTTAAGAACAGAAATATTCAACATATCTATGAAGGCATGCCAGTTTTGGAAGCAAAATAGCAGCTCCCAAGTTTTTTGTCTCAGAATAAAATACGCAAGCCACACTCATCTAGAAATGCTACAACCATTCAAGCAATATCTGTATTTAAGACAACAGACAAGTATAAAACCTAACCTGCTGCTGCCTCTGGAACCGAGGTGGAAGAGACTTCTGATACTTGGAGTAACCCTGGCCAGGGGGACCACCAGTTTGACGACCTGCTCCCCCTCCGATACTCTCAATCTTCACTGGGTCGACTCCTCTTTCACCTCCACTTCCTGCACGAATGTGCTGACTGGCCATGGTCTCTTCCTTATTTTCTCCTGGTAAAGGTACGTCGAGCGTGGGCTGCGGTGGCTGCGGTGGCTGTGACACAGCTGGCTGGGAACACTGTTGGGCTTCTGAACCAAGAGAGAAGGTTGTAGGGTTGAATCAGCGGATATAATCAAAAGGTGGAGGCTTTATCTGAACTGCCATATTAAACACATCAGACCACATTAGTGATACAAATTATTCAGACCAGTCACCACTGATTTCGTCTACCTGAGAAACTCACCTGCACTGGAGTCATAGCTGCTGTTGCTGCTGGCTCGCTGTCGGTCACCGACTCCAGGACTGGACCCCGGCTGCACAACCAGCGCTGGAGGTTCTTCAGGGTCCACACAGGGGGATGGGGGCTGGCTGATGTTGGGCGAGGAGGCAGAGGCTGAAATAGATGGACTAGGACTGCCTGCTGTGGCAGCTGTAGAGTTTCCATCAAGGCTGGGGCTTATACTACTGCTACCACCACCTCCCATGTTGCTGCCCTGCTGCTGTTGCTGCTTCTCATCCAGCCTCTTCAGCTTCTCTGCACAGGCTGCGCGTCTCTCCTCCTCCATCCTACGTTCCTCCTCCTCACGGCGGCGACGTGCTCGCTCCACAGCGGCAGAGATCTCAGTGGAGGACTGCTTCCTGCGCTGACGCCAAGTCTCATCCTCATCATTGTCCTGGGGTCCGGGAACCAGCAGGCCTGGCTGTGCAGGAGGAGAAGGGCCTCCTGCTGCTGGCTGAAGCTGGGCGGGGACAGGTTTCCCCGGGCCTTGAGAGGCACCTTGGTTGTGGGGCCGGTCCTTAACAGTTGGAAAATGTAGAAAGCTCTATTATGAAGTTTTCAACTCTCTAGATGAAAAAACTGCAATCTTGTTGAGAAAATGATCTACAAATGATTATAATCAACCGAAACAAACTCAAGAGGAAAAACGCAAACTCAAAACTGAAGATGACTTATTTATAAAACCTGGGGCGGTGGATGAGATAATGATAGAAATGACTTGTCTATGAGGACCTATCCGGATGGCTACCTGTCGGTAAAAGGAGTAAGGCCCTTGTCCAAGGAGCGGCCCAGGTGGGGGGGAGGGCTGCTCCCGGGGACCACCCAATCCAGGCCTGCGCCCCTGTATACAGGTAGACTCAGTTAGCCATGCTCCACAACAATTATCTACTCTGACAAAAACACACACACACTAACACACCACTGCCCACAAATAATTCTTTGCTGAACAGAATGCCCAAATTGTCCTGTGTTATAAATTTGAACTTTAAATCTTTTCTACGCTTGAGTACAGCCTGTCTTGGAGACAACTTGATGCTACTGGTCAGCATGGTACCTGGTAGTTGGATGGTGCTCCCTGGCTCCCCCAGCCACTGCCTCCCTCCTCGGCCCATCCTGGCTTGCTGGAGGGGGGTTGGGGGCCATTGTCAGCGTTAGAGGGAGGAGTGCGGCGTGTGTCTCCACCGCTGTCCGAGGCTCGAGAGCGAGGGGTTGCAGCAGGGGCATCCTGGGACCTCTGCTGCTCACTGAGGAAAACACACAAGTGTGAGCCAAAAAAAACCCCGTTGTCATAATTTGAAGTGATCACATGCTGAATGAATTTTGTTGCATACCGCAAGTCATTCTTGCTCTCAGTTCTCTCCTCTTCCCCCTCTTCATCTCCTTCATCATCACTGAACTTCAACTTGGCGGAGTAATCAATCTCCTCATGAGCCCCTGTTAAAGAAAAAAACAAAAATAAGGACAGGAAAACATCAGAATCACATTTGTATCAAACATCCACTCAGTGCATTTGCACATTACTCATCATCCTCCACTTTGATAAACCTGATCCTCCACCACTACCACCACCCCCACCCTCTGGCTCCTCGTCTGAGCAGATTGTAATGACTGGAACACCTCTGCTTGGACCAGCAGGAAATATGATATGTAGTAACATCTGCAACATCAGAAAGCATCAATCTGACTGGCTACCACTATGTCATTACCTCCTTAATCATTTAGCAGCACAAGCACTAAATCAACATGAAATATGTTGACTTACACTTTAATGTCTGTATTAAAATGGGGCCGGACACTCCCATGTACCACAACAAAAATGAAAGCCTCTACAGTGCTAGTTCACTATATCCTGGTAAGACCATCCTGATGATGTGCGCTCAATATTCTGTTTCGCTCTCTCTATCACTCTGGCTCCACTGCATCACTCTGGCTCCACTGCCACCCCAAACACTTTCAGTGGGCAGGAGTACTCACCTTTTAATTTCTGGAATGTGTATGGGGCAGCAGCGGGGCCAGACTGATACACAGAACGAAACAAAGTGTTGAGCTCACGTTGTCAGGATGGTCTTGCCAGACTAAGTTCACTACAGCAGGACTGAACTGACTAAAAATGTTTCACTCTAAGTACAAATTCAATTTTAATTCAATCTAAATGTCTCACATTTAAAAACACAACTAGTCTTCAACAAAGATTGAAATACAATACGACGAATTCCTTCTTTATTAAATCTGTTGTGTGCATTAAATGTAATTTAAAATTCCCTTTGTGTAAGAAAAGACAATAAAAGTGTTTAGTGTTTGCTCATTTATTTCTATACTTTTCTTCATTCTACATGACTCTAGACGTGTTTACCAGTGCTTACAGATATTTGTCATTTTTCCTTCTTCGTTTTTCTGAAATGTGAACCACTCATGATCCAGAAAGGAACTCTTGTTTTGTCATACATTTGAAAATCAAAACCAATTAGAACAGGTTTTCCACAGCCAAAACATTACATGTTAATGTATATCTGTGAAAGAGCGTATTTTTTTTTTTTGGTTTGGTTTACCTGCCCAACCCTCGTCTCCGTCGTGGTCCAGCTCGTCCAGCTCCTTCAGGTCATCCTGTTTCAGGATAGAGGGTCGCTTCACCATATCTCCACCTGTGTCACGTGGGCCGCCCTGAGGCCTGCTGTCAGGACCAGCCTGCCCACGAGAGAACCTGACAGAGAGGAGGAGATTCTTTTAAAGTGATGTATCAAAAATACAAAACTGGGATTTAATCCGAAATAGAGGACCAGGTAAATAATATGCCGCAAAGTTGCTCAATAGTAGCTTTACAACTGATTTTGGCAAACAAAATACCTTGGAGCAGGCCCTTCCCCAGGTGCTGGGTACCTGTAGGGCCCCTGAGGGCCATAGGGGGCCGGGAAGGGCAGGTAGGGAGAATACATCTATGAAGGAAAAAAAGACAGCCTTTAGTGAGGTCCTGAGCAGAGAATCAAGTCACCTTCCTCTGAGTGTGTTGCAATTCTAGGTTCCCTGTGGGTTGTTGTGGTAGACTGTCCGCACGTGCTTATCAGTGTATGCGAGTTCCTGTAAGTGAGTCCCACTGGTTAGCTCATCGCTACCACTCTGCACTGTGCTCATACAGTAGTCCTGCTGATAACAGGAGAGTGTTGTTGCAGGAGCGTAGCACCCACCCTTTGGTTCCCCCCCAGGTAACAATATTAGCTCTGTAAGCACTGTTGCTGTTGATAGCGCTGTTTATTCAGTTAGCACTGTTAGCTGTAGGTGCTGGCTCAGCAACCTCCATGTTGAGAACTGTCAGGATACTAGGACCTCAGACCCTGAATCATAAATATGCGCTGAATGTCCCATACAGTTCCTTCAATGTATACAGGAAGCAAATTTCAAATAAATGTGATGGAAAAAAGTGCAGCACAACTCAATTCTGCACTCCATCTGCAGAAAAATGTTACATCATTTAAATGGGCCCTGCAAATGTGTTGCAGAGCAGTTGGAAAAAGAAAACAAGAGGATAACTTACGAAGGGAGGCATGATCCCTCGGTATTGTGGGAACCCAGGCCCCACAGGGGGCTGGGGCAGGGGCAAGGCGGGGCTGCCTGCGGGAGGGTTCCTAGGTGGCCCGTGGGACTGAGAGCTCGGAGGGGGGACCCCAGCTGCCCCATCCATCACCAGAGCCCCACAAGTGCCACCCTCCGCTGCCCCCTCCCCAGACAGGGTGGGCGCCAGGGCTCGGCCCCCACCGTCCCGCCAACTTGTAACGTCTGAGGACAGAACACAGGAGAGGACAGAGCGGTCAGTATGGTTTATGGGCTTTAATGGAATAAGGTCAGAGGTTCAGAGCCATTACTGTTGAAATATGGCACATCATTTAAACTAAGACCCATGACTGAAATACTTAATATGAATAGATATGAGTTTTGTTATGTAATTTTATATTAATTAATGAGGAACTATTTTGTTTTGCCTCATTCACTAGATAAATTTGGTGTTTGCAAGCCCATAGCAACAGAAACTGAAGCATAAAGATAAACTCTTTTAATGCATTTATAACAATTATAAAATACAAAGGAAGAATTAATAGGGGGAAAAAAAGTTCATTGACTTTTTGCTCAGCTGCCCTGTTATAAACTGAACCACTCCACACCATAAACAATCCTGTGAGAGAAGTTTTCCCATCACCACTGACTTCATGAAATGACTGGTTGATCAATTACTGGAGACTTAGAGGGCATCACTCACTCTGGGGGCGGAGGCTTGGTCCGGGCCCATACCACTGATCTGCAGTGCCCTGTTCTCTGCCAGCTTTGTCCTGGTCGCCAGCCGCCTGCAGGGTGGGAAATTCCTCGCGAGAGAATGGCGATGGTAGGTTTGATGCCTTTCCACCTGCAGAAAGGGGAGACAAGGTGTCAACGTGCATGCATAATGGAAAGCTTATTCCCACCTTATTCCAGCTTATTTCTTCTGAGGCGAATACAAAAAGCAAGACTCACCATCCCCTTGTGTTCCATGTGTAACACTGGCCTGTGCCCAGGACCTTGCCCCTACGGCCTGGGTTGAAGTTGGGGCCAGAGCCTAAGGGGGAACACACACAAACACAGAAAAACACCATATGATACATGTCAACTATGGCCACCATAAATATCCATGCACAGTATCAACTAAGACTATGACTTTGCATTCATGTTACTGGGATGGTCTGTACCTCTGAAGCTGGCGGGGTTCTCGGGCGGGTCTGTGCAGGTGTCGGTGTAGCCACAGGCTGCTGCGATTCCGGCTGCGCTGCTGACGATGCATCGGTACTGAGAGAAAGAAAAAAGTCACAAACTATAGATATAGATATATTACAGAGATATTACAGAAGTCGGCTCCAGCAAAAGAAAAACATCAAGGTGATTTTTTCCCCTGCCAAATGTAGTAACTACAGTGGGGTTACTTACCTCTTTGGGTCCGCTTGTTCCTGTTTGCTTGCCCATCCTGTGCCGTCTTTGGGAACGAGCGAGACGTTGGGATCGTTGCCTTTGTTCTCTGCCTTCAGACTGGGCAGGTTGGCAGGGGGTGGCATACGCCGTGCGGAGGCAACTTTACCAAGAGACTGCAGGCCATGGCGGGGGGGAACTGATATGGGGAAGAGAAAGAAGGTCATTAGCACAGATGGACCACTGAAACCAGACACCAATTAAATCTATTGGCTGTAAGGAGCAGCCTGATGACAGGGTGGCGTTTGCTAGATACACAATTAGGATGCTGAACAACCAACAAGGCTAGAGGCTTGGTAGTCTCAGTCTAGTGATTCTGATGAATATGGATTACAAAAAATCTCCTAGATGTTATTTAAAACCTCCAGCAAACCCACTTAAATTAGAGTTTACGGAGAAGTTTTAGAATATTGATGCTCACAGAAGCATGGAAAAGCCTTTAGATTCTGGAAAGTGAAGTTGTGCTGAATATCAATCCCTCATTTGTTTCCTTCAGGCTCTGAGAAACCACAGCAGTGCATGGCTTCACTATGTAGGAGGGGGAAGTCTGTAGTTTAGAAATGGGGACAGCTGCTTAGATCTAGTGGGGAGCTTCTGAATAAAACATCGACTGGGGACTCGGCACAGAAGTCAACCAGCGTCCACAAGTAAGCCTCTGTCTCAGGTCAGGCTCAGTGGCTCCCAGGCTCAGCTGACACGTCAAGGCTGGGGAGCCAGTCACCCCCCGGGCCGTGCATAATTTCTTTTAGTATGATTTAAGATTGGAAACATTCTAATAGAGAATGATTTTTTTTTCTCTCACAGGTGTAAAAGCCTATAAATAACAGGGCTGTAAGAAAACATTGACACATTTAAGAACTGCAATATTTTACTTTGTGATATTGCATCAAAAATATTATCAATTTTTGTTAGCAATATGTTATTTTCTTAATATGCTTACCGAAATAATCCTGAAAGCACTTTTAGTTTTTACTGACATAGACAAATGTTCACTCTTTTGCTCATACTGCACAAAAAGTAGGGCTATGAGGTTGAACATTACAGGGACTGCGATGAATAGAAATACAGATCCAAGTCAGCACTGATATGATTTTCAAGACCTGCTCCCACCCCAGCACTGCAATGTGCAATACCGCACCGATGACCAACTAGTACCACAACCCGACACAACCCTTCGACACAGGATCCACGGTCCAACCCAAAACAGCAAATCCTATGATAACCAAGCACTGTACAAATAATTCGGATTCGGGCCATTTGATACACATAAAACTAAAATAATATATTTCAAAATAAAGGTAATTTAGGAAAGACAATTTTATTTGCTTTTTCTCATTATACTGAGTGGCACATCTCCACAGTTAAAATGCCTGTTAGTAATGCACCTGATTGAAGCAGCTCTAATATTCCAGCTGGCACAGAAGACAGAGCCGACATAAACTCAGTAGTCAGACAACTAAAATGCTAAAACATTAAATTATCATAATTTTCATCTTATCTTAATATAATTGTTATCCAATACCTGCGAGCTGACCCGCTTGTTGTTTTATCCAGACTCGAACCTAGTATAGGGCTAGGTAATATAGAGAAAATCAACTATCACAATATTTTTGACTAAATATTTCAATATCACTGCCTGCTGCCCCCGCGACCCGGCCTTGGATAAGCGGATGAAAATGGATGGATTTCAAAATCAATTTTGTAGGGTTGACTGATGGTGATTTCACAAAACATTTGCGCAGTGAGATTTTTGCTATGTGGCTATAATAACTAAGGAGGTAAAGGCAAATAATAGAACAACTGGAACAGTCTTGTAAGTTAAGAAAATTACACCACTTTACTGTAATGCAGCCTTTAAAACCAGGAAAAGACAACACTTACAATATTAGGATTTAATTTCTGAGATTATATCTAGTCTCATATCACAATATTGATACTGCCTAGCCCTGACGGCAACATAAAATTAGGACAAAATACAGACAGATCCAACTGTTCTGTGTGGATGAAAAAAAGCAAACTTTTTTATGCATATGGTTGTGTGTTCTTTATACTATGACAGTTTTCCTAAAATTAAATTAAAAAATATAGCAACATGTCACCCTGTCTTCACAATATATTGCAATTTATCGAATCATAATCCCTGTATTGTGTACAGTGTTGCCAGATTCTTGCCGTTACACAGCCCCAATAAATGAGTAAATATCCTTGATCCCTGAGTAATATGAATAGCATCAGCAAAACCGTTTGACAGGCAGTTTAGAGATGCAGCACATCATCCACTTCCTGTACTGAGAATCAGCACCAGAGCTATTAGGGAGACAGCAGACTAATGCATCAAAGTTGCGGTACATGGTGTCAGGAGAAAACAGAGCACAGCCAGGTACTTTTAATCACACAGCCAACGGGTAAATCCAACTGTGTGTAGCAGATCTATAAAACAAGTTGTACACCCTTAGTGACCAAACAAAAGTGGCTGAATGTAAACAGAGCCTGACAGGCAAGCGATACTGAAAACTAATACCCTGGGTAGAAAGACGGAAAGGCAAATTTCCAGTACAGTGGATGTACGTTGTAACAATGAATGCTTGGACGTGACAGAACTGAGATACTCACCAACAGGCTTTTGTGTTTCAAGGCTCTTTCCTTTGTATGTATCAAACAGGTTGAGAGACGCATACTTGGTTTTGCCTTCCTTCCCCTTTGCAGTTTGCCCAGAGCGCTCTGACATTGCGCTGTCCGCTCATTGAGTATGGTGAGCCCTGAGACTGTGGGGGGAGAGAGAGAAGGAGGCAAAGACAGAGATATTTGACACCAGGTATACACAGAAAGTGAGAGTAAAAGTGCCGACTGTTCGAGCATGCATTCAAAACACCTAGCAGAACAGAAACTTTCTCACACATCAAAGTATCCTCGTGAACATGTGTGCTGTGACCCTACAGCTTCAAATAAAGGATCCGACAGCCAGATGTGTGTGGTATAATAAAGCAGCCATAGAGTAACTTATAGTAGAACAGTGTAGAAAATATGTTACAGCAGCTACAATCCTGTGTGCCAGCTAGCAAGACTAAATGCCGATCCACACAACATTTTTAGTCCTCTGTCTCACAGAAGAAATATTCCTTCATTTTAACAAATATCAGTCCACAAACCACAGATATGTCGCAATACATAACACCCTGTTTTTCACACTGATGTTTTTTCTCTTATGCACCCAGTAAGTCATGAGGGCACTCAATAAAACCAAACAAATTTCCTGTTGGCACTGTGCACTTTCATTATGTACATTTACAAGTTAAACTCATTACAGAAAGCTACAAAAATATATTAATGCCAGCATAATTAAAACATTTACCCCCAATAAACATTCTTTAAAAGCTTATTTTGGGACATTTTATAGTTGAACTGTGGGATTCAGTGTTTGCCAGCTTAGTGAAGAAATTTTGGCCATCCGAGGCAACAACTCAAAGGATGTCAGAAGTGCAACAACTTAACAGTATAGAGATTCTACATCAAAACAACAAAGTAATGTGGCTGAAGGCAATAATCATACAAGACAATATTAAAATAGAAAATATCTCACATTTCTGACCAACCGAAACCCAACCGAGGGGTTATATTCATCAAATCATACATCTAAAAATATTTGGTGCAACTTTCAATGTCTCTGGCTCATTAGGTTATTGGCCAATCCTCAAAAAATCTCAGCAATCTAACACTGCATAATGAATATCACGTGTTGCAGGTATTACACACTGAGCAATTTAACAATATCTAATTAAATATTAAATTAAATACACTTTATTGTGGGCAGATGACTCCACACCTCATCACAGGATACACTGTTCAAAAGAAGGGGATAAAGCTGAACCATGGTCTCTATAGCAACACATTATAAATGATATTCTTCTTTGCCTTGCCTTGAGACAGGTTTGGCTCCATGGCAACTGCCAGGCCTTTAGCTTGAACTCACTTTACTGCACATCAATAAAACACACAGCGCTGACATCTGTCCAATTCAGAGTGATTTGGCTGTATCCAGCAGGTTAAACAGCTGCCCCCACTCCGACCAACTCCCATTAGGAACAATTACAGAGAACAGCCAATTCTCCTCAGATTACTATGCTACAAACAACATTAGTCATTTCATTCACTCAGTCACTCGAAAGGAAGTGGTGAAATGATGCGGGCCAATTCACATGGTCCATGACTAGAGGCGCAATTTTAGAGCTGAACAAAGACTTCAAGCAACAGCTCTGTTATACTCTTCTGTATAATACTGACCAGTAGATATATCAAGAACTGAAAGGTAGAAGAATGAGTGGCATCTCAACTTATGACAGCTCCATCACTCTTCACTATACCAGAATAACAAGTCCACCTGAAAAGATGACAACAAGGCTCACACCAGCAATATGGTGAGCAACAGTGGTGTGGCGATGATTCAGACAGGGATGAATATGAAACCACAATCAAAACAATACTAAAATACTCGGATGTTAAGTCAACTGCCTACTACTGCGCACTAGTAATCCAGACAAAACGCACGATGTCTACACAACACACACATCAGTGAAGAAAATAAATACACCACACCAACAGGATGACGAGCAGCAGCACTGCACCGTGCCTCACTGTAGCCAGATGAGATTTAGAAAATTAGGTCGTGGGATGGCTGGTCAACTACATGTTGTATGGGGATTAACGTTAACGGGGGCCAACAGCTACACTGCCAAGCCATAACTGCAGTAACGTATGCCACAAAGGGGCCTTGTAAAGCTAAAGCTAACGGTAATCGTGACAACATTTGGGCAAAATCAGCTGGTAGCTACGACAGTGGCAATTGCAATCAACATCAAATATATAAACCACAAACTGCCGAAGCTACAGACGCATAAAGATGTTTCATTGCAGCGCTAACTAATGTTAGCCAGCTAACACAGGGCCTCGGTGTTCGCGTTGGGAGGGGGACTGCGTTGATGTTTCATAATGCATTCCCAACACCTTGCGGTAACATTAGCTCCATGCTCCTCGGATCTGTAATGTGCTACATTTTCAATCACACACCGACATCACGACTGTGCGTTTCCATCAACGTTGTCGCTCGTCTGTCGTTCGTGTGAGGCACAGGACAACGCAGAAAAAAAGATTTTATTGGGAGAACAAAACAAAATGGCGGTGAGAACAGGCCCGGTGCATATTAACGTTAATATAACCCGTTGTGTAGCATACTTCTACCGAAGCCAAACTGCCTTCATATAGTTAATATGTAAAGACGCTGTCAAAGTGGGCAGAGTAGGGTTAACTGTTCCGAAAAATACCCACTGAAATAATTAACTAATGTCAGCATATCGTAAACTGACAGTGTGTTAGCTAAAGCTACAGGCGAACAGCCTGTGCTAACGTTCATCCGCTAACATTAGCTGCGCACAGGGGATCGTTAGCAAACAAACATTATCACATATTTCAACAACACGCTGACTTAATAGCCAGTATTACCAGTGAATAAATATAATCATAGTTATTCCAAAAGCTATTACACTCACCCCTTTGATATGACAAACGCTATCTAACCGCTTAGCCAAGCTAGGCTAACAAGCAATACAACCTCCTAACATTAGCTAGAAAAAATAAGACTGCCCCTTCACAAACATCCTCTAGGGTAAGCTATGTCCGTGTCCAAGAATAATGGTGATAATTTTTGCTCAATATAATTTAACGAATCGGTGTTTGCATAAAACATGCAAAATATTCCGGCCACTGACCTGGTCTTGTCCCGACTTGTCTCGAGGTTGTATCGCAGAATGAGGTTAGCTATGCTATCGCGTAGCTTTCTAGCAAGTGACCCAGCTAGCTAAGCAGCGTTATCCTCCTGCATAGTCAAACACATACGGTCTTTGCAATAGATCGCACCAACTAACTACAAGCAGTACTTATAGATAAAGAATGTGTTCGGCTTACTTGCACTCCTTTTCCTTTTTTTATTCCAAAAAATAAATGAAAAGGGGAAAATAAAATTGTAATACTGGACTCGATCCGTCACCTAAAGAGCCGTCAACGGCTACTGAGTAATTTCGTGAGATGGAAGCCGTTTGGGACCCCTAACGTTACAGTAGGAAAAATGCGACTTTTATTTAAGAAAAAAAAAACCAAAGCACACAAACACAATAAAATAAAAGTTAATATTTTAATTCTCATGGCCTTATGGATTGAGGGTGAATTTTAATAGGTATACACTGTTCTCACAGAAGAATACAATTTATCCACTATAATATGAACTGTAATAATTAGGGATTAGTATTATGAGTATGAAGATGAAAGATGCTTTGCAATATTTCTGTTTTGGGCAAACAAAGAAAAGCTTACTCAAAGGCTGCAGAGAAATGTATCCATAACAGAGAGAGCATGGTTGTCCAAAATAAAGAGGGTATCTCAGGTCACACATATGGCACAATTTCTGTTTTTTGCTTTTCTTTGGTCCCCATGCTGAAATTTAATGGTGTCTCATGACCATTAACTAATATCAAAATAACTGTTTCTTTATGCACATTTTTTTCCCCTTTATTTTGTAACTACTTCCAAAATAACTCTCAATCAAAACTTTGGTTAAATGTCTGCACCTCAAATTACACAATATTTTATATTTTATCCTTTAATATACCTTGTACTACTTTATATCTTTATGTGTAGTTTCTATTTGTGTTTCTACTTGTGTGATTGTATTATTATTATCATTTTTATGCAAACTTACAAAGCATTGGAGGAAGCATTGAGCTGTGAACCTTGAAATTAAAAGAAAATGCCAGCTCTTCTTAACAAGAAAATCTTGACCACACATTCACAAATATATATCATCAGTTTTGGACTCGAGTCAAACTTGAGTCACAAATTTGATCACTTCAGACTCGACAAAATCCAACTCAACTCTTCTAGATCTTTAATGACTCATGACTTCACTTGGACTTGAGCCTTTTGACTTGAAAATACTTGATGCCTTCCCCCCAAGCCCAAAGATTAATTAATAAGTATGTTATTTAAAAAATGTGCCACGAATTAATTAATTTCCTGAGCCTCCCATTGCCCCATATTCAGTATTATAAAGTGAGTTTAAAAAGTCTTCAATTTTCTTCCTGAGAAAGTCCTGGGAGTCAGTATCAGCTTGTAGTGAGAAATGTAAATTCATGCAATTTTTGCTGCATCAGTTGCTGCTTAGGAAGAAAATTCTAATGTTTCTTTGTGTAAATCATAAATGACACTGCAAATCAGCGCGGCTTTGCCCACAATTGTTAGAAACCATTTATTTATTTTACAGATAGTACAGATCAGATAATGTCCTGCATAAAAACAATCTAACCCTGTGTACAATGCTGATAATACAGGGCATAAATGGACACTTGATTTGGACATAAAATAACCAAATTTGAGTTGAGGGAACTTCAGACTGATTACAAAATATCAGAATACATGCTGTTCAAGTGCATAAAAGGATACTTTGGCTACATCATGTTCTCACCTCTTCACTCTTACATTCATAAAACACACGCGCACACACACGATTCATTTCTATTTTAACTATTGTTTTTTCTAAACCACTCAAACCCCAATATATCAAAGCCATCCACATCATTTCACACAACTTCTGGTTTTATAAAGGCAGCAGAACCTATTTCAATCAGCCTATATTCATGGCACACTCATATTTCAATAAAGGCAATAATTATAATTACAACCGTGAACCCATATGAGAATTGAAAGTAGGCTGCTTCACTATTAAATTACATTATCTGAGGAAATAGGAATCATTTCACCCCAGCGTCAAACATATAGTGGCTCTGACAGTGAGGTGAATTCGTGATCAATGCAGAGGTGCTTAAAATCTACACTGCATTAACATCATATTCAAACTGCTGAAAGTCATTAGTCATCTCAGAAGATTGTGATGTGATATTTGTAGTATGGTATCTTCATTTGCTGTTGCTGTTTGCTGCTGGACAGTAACTTCAGTATTGACCTTATTTTCCCAATTTTTTGTGTCTAAGTGACTAATGGAGACAGCAATTTTTTTTAAATTGTTAAGATTAAGATTTTTGTTGCGCTGGTGGCTTAGTGGTAGAGCAGGCGCCCCATATACAAGGCTGTTGCCGCAGCGGCCCGGGTTCGACTCCAGCCTGTGGCCCTTTGCTGCATGTCACTCCCTCTCTCTCTCCCCCTTTCACACTAGTCTGTCCTATCCATTAAAGGCTAAAAAGCCCAAAAAATATCTTTAAAAAAAAAAAAAGATTAAGATTGTTAATTTAAGTGTCTGACAACATTATGAAAAGGATCCATACAGAGATAGACTTTTTTGTTAAAGAGTAAGATCCTTTTTTTTTAGCCAGGAGCAGCCCCAAAATCTCTATCGCCAAACCCACCAGACTCCATTTAAATAAACAGTAATTTTATCACCTTTAAACGCACTTAATTTAAAGTTGACAGAAATAAAATATAACTTAGAAAAACGTTCTTGCTTCAGCCCTAGATTCAACCTCTTAAATGTGCAAATATGCTGGCTCTATACACAATAAAATTATTTGAGTCTGGTGAGTTTTGGCGATAGCGATTTAATCATTGTTTATGGTTAAACAAAAAGGATCTTACTCTCAAACAAAAACGTCTATCATAAGAGGGAACCCTTTTGATAATGTTGTCAACAATCTGAGCCCTTCAGTGACAAAAACAAGCACTTTAAGTGGACATAAATTGACAGTGCATAGTGTCAAAAAATGTTGTTCCCATTCGTCTCTTACACACAAACATTTGGGAAAATAGGGTCCAGGTTGAAAAATAGAGAAGTTACCCTTTAAGTAGCTTGGAAACTAGTGTATTTGGTCTGAAACTTAGTCTTCAACATTTAACTGTCCCTTGCTTGGTCATATTTTTATTCTGTCTACTTGTGTCTAGGAAGAGGAAATCCACAAAATTGCGGCTGTGCAAAAACAACTTTTTAGAAAACACACACACACTTGGCAACATATCCAAACACAGAAAAATGGACATCAGACTTGCAACGTCATTAAATGTGGGAATTCTAGAGAAGAGTAAAATAAAATAAAGAGAAAATTGTATTTAAGATTATCACAAGCTGACCATAAACCGTCTAAATATTAATGGTGTTGAGCCTCCCATTGCCCCATATTCAATATTATAAAGTGAGTTTAAAAAGTCTTTTATATTCTTCCTGAGAAAGTCCTAGGAGTCAGTTTCAGCCTTCTGTTTCCCTTTCCCTCCAGCATTGTATCTGGGAGACAAACACAAGGTGAAATTATAACAGAAGTCAGACCAACAGATCAGTTTTAATGCACCGGCTGATATTAATGACTTGATGCACTTCTGCTTACCTCCCTCTCACATGCTCTACCGGCCACCATACAGGTGGATCTTTGCGAACGAGACCGTCTCGTAACAGTCTTTGTGGCCCTTCTCGTAGATGACGTAGATGTACTTCTGGTCCTCTACTGAGCCAGTGTCCAGTGATGTGATGCTGGAGTAGGCGCTGGGCCCCGCCCATAACTGCACAGCTTGTTTCTCCCAAGATTTGCCATCTTTCAGCGACCAACGTAACGTCATATTAATTCCTTGGGGGATGAGAAAAGAAGTTAGTATGATGTAGTGATGATACTGATCTTTTAAGTCTGAAGCAAAGAAAATCGATGAGTTGTTTTGGCCTGGAGAAAAGCAGCAGCAGTGGTGGAAAGGAACTCAACACAACAACCATGACCAGCTGTGACATTAATGTGTTAATATGCCAATAATAATATTCCAGCAATATATATGGTGATAAAACATTCTGAAAGGGGTCATTGTTTTCAATAAATGCTTTTACTTTTGATAATTTAAATACATCTTGCCGATAGTAATTCTATACTTTTGAATGAATACAGGCACAACTCTGTAACAGAGTATTTTTTACAGAATAGTATTGCTACTTTTACTTTCACCACCGAGCACCGGTGACAAATGAGTGTAGGGAAGAAGGGATGATGACTCTTACTGTGTTGCATATTAGAGGGGTTGGTAAAGAAGAGCACTCCATCTTTCTGCAGAGCTCCAGCTGCTACTGCAGGATCCACCAGCTCGTAGTCAAAGAACAGATCATCTATGGGCAGGGTCTCTCCACCGTCGTGGCTGCGTACAATAATGCGACACCGACAGTGGTAGTTGTTCTGGTTCCGCACGTTGATGACGATGCTGCCGTCCGTCATCTCAACCGGCTGCAGAGGAGCAGAAAGGGTTTGG